GCAAGAAAGCTCCAGCAGAACCAGGCTCATGGGCTGGTTCTCCACCTGCAGCAGCGCGTCGCAGATATTTTTGATTTATGCCCAATATTGAAGCGTGGTCTGCGCTATGTTCTTCCACGCCACAACATCTTAATCCTTATTTATCTTGATATACTGTATATTCCTGTATATACTGTATATATATTGTTTATTCTTCTTAATACACCTTTTTCCTCCTTCTTTGCACCTTCTTTAATTACTATGCCAATATGTGACCAGTGAATTTCTCCGCTGTGAGATCAATAAAGCTAATCTAATCTAACACCAGAGGGCCAATCAGGAGCTAGCTGTGGGTCTAGATATGACCGAGGCGGCGAGGAAGTGGGGGCAAGTTTGTGTGACAACGGAGATTAGGGCCAAAAAGAGCGGGGATCCAGGTGGAAAAAGGGTCCCAGCGTTCTCGCGCACCTCGCTCTTCTAGGTGGACCATCTCCACCAGTCGTTTTTTCACAATGACGGTCAGACAAACAAAACAAGCCGGTAAGGAACCAAACAGGAAATACGCATAGTGTAGAGCTGATGTAGATTTGATCAATCAGAGGCCTCCTGTCTGTGGTCGCCTACAATTTGGGAGAGGTGCAGCAGAGTGTCTGCGGAAGGGGGCGGGGTCACATTTGTGTTAGCGCAGATGACCTGAAGGTATAAATCATTATTCAGTGTGAGCGGCCATCTGCTGAGGCCGACTGGGGTTCAAGGAGACAGAAGCAGACATAGAAATAGAAGCATAGATACAAAAGGCGGCCCCATCCAGGAGACACAGCCAGACAGACGAGCTCCGAGCCATTTTATTTTATTTATGGTAATTAAAAAATAAACAACCAGTTACTTGAAAAGCTGCATGTTAATAAGTAGCCTTTTATTTAATCTTGGTTTAATGATGCTGAGCTATTAGGACCCTTAGATGTTAAAGTAGAACCATGGAAACCCAGGAACAGCAAGTTAAAGCTAAAGGTACGAAGAAGTTTAAAGCCTTTAAAGTGATTAATGATGCTCCAAGCTGGAAGACGGGAAAGAAAACAACCACAATGTAAGCGTTACATCTAACATGGAAAACAAGGTGTTTTTATCAAAAGAAATCCAAAATTTAACATTTGCTTCCATTTAAAGAGCTGTATGTGTAAAAGAAAAGATTTAGGTTCCTCTTCCAATAACAGGACAACAAACTAGCAACCTGCAGTGAGAAAATGACCTTTGAGTATTGGAGATTGCTGTTCAAAGATCTTCGCTTTCTTTGCTCACTTGAGCTGGGGTTCTTTTTTTTTTCAAACAAAAAGAAACAAGCAAATTAATGTTTAAATGCGCAAAGCTACCTGAAAGGATTCACAGTATCTATCATTTCTATTTCTACAAACTGAAAGTGCTGAATTTAGGATGAAAGCCGCACAAAAAAATTTTTTTAAAACCGTTTTCCTTCAGCTTCAGAGTTACAAGCAATTCTGCGTTGAACTTTTAAATCAGATTTCAAGGAAAACCATAAAGGTTTGCTGTTAATGGATTGAAACGTCCAACGTTAATCCAAATCTCTTAAATAATCCCAAGCTAAAGCACAATTTTTGGTCCAAAAAGTTTCGTTTTTATGTGAAACTAAAAGAAATACAATTAGACATCTGCAGTGATAAATATGCCTACAGATTGATTAGATTATAATCTGGTAAAAAACCTTTTTGCTGGTTTGATTCTAGCTTGCAGAAATGCAGAAACATAACTGGAAGAATTTAATTAAGTAAAACCAGAGTAATTTTATTCTTATGTTATATTTTTTATTACTATTAAAGTTTTTGTCTTCTTTATTTAAACTGAAATGTTTTATCACAGCAGTGGACTTTTAATATCAGACAAAGATAAGCCGAATAAACACAAAATGGAGATTTCAAATGATGATTTAATCGATTAAGGTAAAAAGCTATCAGAAGCTAATTTACCTTCCTGATTAAAGGATGAATTCATTGATTAACCAATATTTGGTATTATTTAATTAGCTATAACTAGTCTGGATTACTCTATTAACCGCTATGTTTAAGAAATCATTTAGGCGGAACCTGTCGTACAACATAAAATAGGCCAAAAGATGCAGCCAATCAGCTTTTTATGCTCGACTCTAAATAGAAAAAATTTTACCTTTTCAGTCTTTAAAGAGATAAACTATTTCAAAAGCTTAGAGGCTCCTTGTGAGGCATTATCTGCATATTGACAAAATAGAAAAAAAGAGTGGCTGGTTTATCAAAATTACTTAAAGAATGCATCAATAATTCATCCAGGAGGTCCGAAGTTCTGCATGAGAGTCAGTATCGTAAGTAGGGCTGAAATAATCTGATTATCGATTATTGACATAATCGACAACTAATTTAGTAATCGATTAACCGTTAACTGGGGTATAGAGACTCTAAAACATGCCTTTAGCTGACAGAGTGACCCACTTAGAGCAGGATTTATACAAAGGATGAAAAAAATATATAAACATTTTGCATTTAAGAAAAAAAAAAAAAGTTTTCATGTGTCGATCTGCTCTCTAATCCAAAAGTCCTCAAGTTGAAAAGTTTTATTTTCACCTGGTTTAATTTGGCAAAAAACTTCTCTAAGGAACCTTTGGCTACCCGACTATTAATCGATTCATCGAAACAATAATAATCCATTTACAAATAATCGTTAGTTGCAGAGCTGATTGTTAGTACTCCTGAATCAACAGTGAGGAAATGACTGGGCTAACGAGGTTTTCATCAGAAAGTTTCAGGAGCAAATTTCTGACAAGAAAGAAAACAAAAAATCATGATAGTCTGAAAACATTGGAAAAATTGTCCTGTGGATTTTTGTTAACGTAAAAATGGAGAAAGCTAGAGCTGCGCTTCAGGCAGAGCACATCATTCTAAAACAGTTCCTGGGGGGCGGTATCCAGTGGCGGTTCTAGACCAAATGTACCAGGGGGCCAACAGGGGGCCAGCGTGTTTTCATGGGGGCCCAGAAAAGCATGAAATAAAAAACAGGGAAAGGGATTCCAGTATATTAAGAGAGCTGCATGAAGGGAAATTTCTATTCATTTAGGTTTACTAAAAATTCTGCTAAGGCTCTTGGTTTGATCCAGAAGAAGCGTCCGGCTGCAAACTTTTTTATTTTTCTGACCAAATTAGCTAATTTCATTGGCTAGACGCTGCTCAACTAGCCTGACGTAGTCCTACTCAATTCTAGTCAGAATGAGTCTGATGCTGCTCCATAGAGCTGTGATTATAGGGCGTGTTTCGAACGAACCAGGAAAAAAAATGCCTCTGCACTCAATTGGATAGACCTACAACCAATCAGAGCAACGGAGTGCGTGACGTATGTTAAGCGACGCACAGTTGTTGTCAACAAAAATCAAAGCGTGCAGTTGCACGCCTAGAATAAGAAGATGAGCCTTGATCGCGTTTCTCTGTTCCTCTTTTAAAATTAATTTGCTGTCGATATCTTCTAGAACAGACCTAATAGCAGAATCTAGACACCTCAACTCTCCAGCGGCAGCCATTATTGTTGTCACCCAAGCGCGCTTTGGTCACGTGGTTGATTACGTTACTGTTGATCATCTGTCCATCATCGTATAAAGCCCGCCCTGACAATTTGATTGGCCCGACCAGATATTGTGCGAGCATACTCGCGCTACTATTGAGCAATGCCAGACTAAGTTCGGAATGGCACCCAGGCTACTGCTCAACTGCATCGAGTGTAGATTGCTTTGAGTTCACCAAAAGGTCGACATATTTGCAGGCAAATAGAAATTCAGTGTAAGGAATTTAATATGTAAAAAAAATCTGTGTTTAAAATTGGGTGTATAAAAAAGGGCAGATTCCAGTTAGAATGTTTTTCTTCCCTAATTCAGAGGATATCTAGCCTCGTGAGACCATCGTGATCTTGCGAGCTTTCAAGGTTTTACTCGCAGATCAGCAGAGATGGGAAGTAACGAAGTACAAATACTTTGTTACTGTACTCAAGTAGATTTTTCTGATATTTTTACTTTACTTTACTACTTATTTTTATGGCGACTTTTTACTTCTACTCCTTACATTTTTACACAAATATCTGTACTTTCTACTCCTTACATTTTAAAAAATTGGCTCGTTACTTTAGTTTTGAATCATTTCAATGGAGTTACCGTTATTATTTTTCACGTCATCAATACCAAATTCAATCTAATTGGATGGGAATCTACGTTGCATTTGACGCACCACTACAAGATGAATCGACAGATTCGGCGGTATTCATTGGCGGCAAATCATTGCAGCTTGGTGGCGGTGGCGTTAGCATAGTAGCATGGACGACGAGATGATTGAAAATGAACACAACGGAGATCCAGTCCTATTGGCAGACATCCATTTAAAATGGAGGCAACGGCATGAAAAAAGTGGTTTGTACTTTTACTTTTATACTTTAAGTAAATTTACAAGCCTGTACTTTGTTACTTTTACTTGAGTAAAGAAGTTTAATCAGTACTTCCACTTTTACCAGAGTATTTTTTAACACAAGTATCTGTACTTTTACTCAAGTACGGAAAGTGAGTACTTTTGCCATCTCTGCAGATCAGTCTGGAGACTCTCCGTTAAAGAAAATTTGGAGCCGTTCACCAAACGAACGTCCAATCAGCGTTGGCTTTGAGGCGGGTTGAGGTGTGACGCAACGAGAAGTGCGACAGTTCAGTCTAAAGAACATGGCGGCTTCAGCCGATGAAACTAGCGTTAGCGTGGCTGTCGAGCAAGTTTTATCGGAATTAAAGAGAATTTCTTCACTGAAAGAAGAGCAAAACACTGCTCTGGAGGCTTTTCTCAGAGGAAAAAATGTTTTTGCTCTTCTCCCGACTGGTTTCGGCAAGAGTTTGATCTATCAATTGGCTCCTCTTCGTCGTCGCTCTGCTACTACGCCATATGCTTTGTTGATCTGATTGGTTTATTTGGCCCGTCTATCACCAACATAGGCCAATCAGCTAACCAGTATTTTCGCCCCTTCCCAAAATTACTTCAACGGAAGGTTTCCAGATGGATATATGGAGCAAATCCATCTGGTGGAGTCAGGTTAGAGGATATCTGCATCTAATGAGATTTAAAAGACATTCTGTGTTATTACATTTGAGTTGTTAAATTTTTTTGTATCTTAAGAAATAAAACCATCAGAGAAAAACATTTGTAGTAAATCAGGTCGTCTTTGTCCGATATGATCTGAAACAGTTAGGCAAAAAGACTTGGAATCTTTAATAGGGTAAAAACATGTATTTTTTAACTTCTAAGAATGTAAGAACGTATTAGTCAGGTATCTGAGAGAAGAGATTGCTGCATTTATTCAGAGCTGATGGTGATTTGGTTGCGTAGAACGAGGAATGAATCTCATGCTCAGGCTGTGCTCGTCCTCTACAGGCTGCTGGGACAGGTTGTTGGTCTGCCTGATGCTGCTGACGGTGCAGCCTTGGCGAGGACAAACGGTGTAACGGGAGAGCAGGGTGACCAGGATGGCCTTCATCATCACCATGGCGATGTGTTTGCCTACGCAAGAGCGAGGCCCAGAGCCGAAGGGCTGGAAGAAGCGGTTGGGTACCTGCCAGGCAGAGGAAGCAAAGCATCAACTGCTGGTTGTTTTACTCTGCAGACTCCCACGTTGTTGAGTTAACTCACTGGGCTGTCAAAGTTTGTCAGGCTGAACTCTCGGGGTTTGGGGAAGAACTCGGTCTTGTGCATTAGACCAGTGTTAAGGATGATGTTGGTTCCTTTCTTGATCTTCATGCCTTCGACTTCGTCGTCCTCCATTGCTTTCCTCATGGTGAAGTCAACCACAGGGTGAAACCTCATTGATTCATTGATGAATCTCTCCATCACCTTCAGTTTTTCATAATCCATGTTCTCCATGGCTGTTTCATCTGCAAATGCATGAACCGTTTCACATTGTGTCACTTTAAACCAGATAACTTTAGTCTATTTTACTGTGTTTTCATAAGACAGACCAACCCAAAGTATTACTTGATTATAACGTGGAAGAGGGAACATTGTTTGGTTTATTTGTTTTACAAAATGATTTAAATCCTAACATGTTTGTATTCAATATTCAGTGCTTTAGAGAACGCCCTCTTCCTGCCAGGGACGGATTTAGGAAATGTGGGGCCCTTGGCAAAGACAGGCAGGGGGCCCTCTGCTTCTCTGATTAAGGTTCTTCTTGCACAGCCTTTCAGTTATGTGCAAAGTTTGCAGCTCTGTTACATTCTGTCCATTTTCTTATGTTATTATAGATGTTACATGAGATGTTTAAAGCTAAGTTTCTAATTTATCTACACATTTCTTTCTGACTAAATGTTCTTCTTGATGCTGTTTGATCATTGATGTTCTCCAAAAGCATCAAAACACTGATGGATATAGACAAAATTCAATCAAATGTAAACAAAACTTTCTTTTTTCTTCACTGGTGTTTATTTCGGGCTGTTAGAGTAAATGGGATCAAAGTAGGAATGGTGACCTATCCATGGTGTTCCCCATCTCCTCCCCCAATGCCAGCTGGAAATAAGGCACCAGCTGCTGTGAATGTATGGATAGAGGAAAACCAAAAATATCCAATTTTTATATTCAACAGTAAACACCACTTTGCTTCAGTATGACAAATAAAACTAATAAAACACACTGAAATTCATAGCTGTAATCAGTGGCGCTGGTGGACTTTTCTCCAGAGGGGGGGCTATAAATTCAAAATAGATATATAATATATATATATGCAACATTATTAAAATACTTTATGAAAACAAAACATACTTTCATGTCCAAGTTTACTTTCTGTGCATAAATCTTTTTAAAGGTAAATCTGTGTTTTCATGGTCCAATATTGGGTCACAAACCTAAAAAAATAATGTACCAATTTAATAATGGAAAAGCTAATAGTCGGCTTTATATTTTTTTAATATATAAAACTATTTTCTGAGAATGTGTTTATTTAAGATTAACTATGCAAAATTAACATCTAGAAAAAGTATATTATATTCTATAATTTTCCATGTGAATCCCAGATTGTTCATTTTTCTTTGCCTTTTCTATAAAGTGCTTTAAATCAGTCCTAGCTGTCTTTATCCATGCTGGCTCAGATCCTGATGTATGAAAAAGGAGGCAGGGAAAGCAGGATAAAGCTTTAGCCTCGCTGCATGCAGTTAGCCTCAAAGCATGCAGTTAGCCTAGCCTTGGAGCTAAACCAAGTCCTGGAAAAAGGACAATTTTTGCACAATTTCTCTCTCTCTCTCTCTCTCTCTCTCTCCAATGCGTTTCTTACACCCACGACTCAACCTGTCAATCACCCGCAAACCGTCTGTGGTTTAGCAGGACGTGGTGAGCAAATACACTTCATGTCACCTCAGGGCGTAGCTTAGCTTCACCTGAGCTATCCTATCCTTCTGTATTGCAGAGGAGCTGCTGCGTGTGGACAACTTTTAACAAGAGTCTATTGGCAAAGACTTTTATATATATGTATATATATATATATATATTTTTATTTTTTTTTTATTTTTTTTTTATGGAGGTTTCTTCCTGTTCAAAGGGAGTTTTGCCTCTCCACTGTCGCTACAAGCATGCTTAGTGTGAGGGATTGCTGAAGAGTCAATGAGTCGATGCAATCAGCTGGTTTTCCTTAGATAGAAAACTTTGAATCAATCTGACTGGATGATCTGGTGAACTGGAAAGTGACCTGAGATGACATGATGTGAATTGGAGCTATAGAAATAAACTGAATAGAATTGAATGTCTTAATCAGGGTCGTTGAGTGGGTGGGGCTGTGCCCTAGTGCCCACTATATGCCAGCCGCCACTGGTTGTAATGTGACAAAATGTAAATATGTTTGCAAAGCATGAGTACTCCATGTGCAAACTTTACATGACACGATGAAGCGCCATAAAAGCAAAGCAGGAACTTCTCTCACCCAAAACGGCGCTCATCTCCTCCACAAGCTGCAGCTCCACCTCTGGGTTCTGCTTCAGCAGCATCAGCATGAAGAACAGACTGATGGAGAGAGTGTCAGGAGCGGCGATCACCATCTCCAGCACACACTGTCTGACGTTATCCGCTGAGAGTTCCCCGTGGTTCTGTTGAGACACAAAGTTATCTGAACGCAGCCCAGTGTTACCTCCATGGCATAAACAGGACCTCGAGGAGGCTGACCTGTGCAAAGATTAGCTCGGTTGCAAAGTCAAGGTCGTCGTCCAGCTTCTCAGCCTTGTTGATAATGTTTCTTTTCATTTCTAGCAAACTCTCCATTGCATCCTGCAGCTCCTGGCTGTTGGTGGGGCAAAATGTTTTAGGATGATGATGCATTCTCACTTCAATTGTTGCGTCACAGACAGGATTCAAAGCTCTTACGCTGCTTTCTTATGTTTGTTGTAAAGCCATCCGATCTTGAAGAACAAATCAGGCTGGATTAGAACCGTTTGCCAGGTTTCAAAGTAGTTATGGATTTTCAGCAGCAGCTCCTTCTCTGAAAAATAATGAAAAGCTGCAGATTTCCAGGCAAGAAGTTTAAAACAGACGGTGTAAATGAGCTGACCATCGAGAGGCACCCTGAGGAACAGCCTGTTAGAGATATCCACCACGATGGCTCTCAGGAGATTGAGGGCATCCACATGTCCAGAGGGGTCAGAGGTCATGTCCTGGAGGTGGTCTAGATGTTTGGCTGTGGAGCTCACACAGATTCCTACCGTCCTCTGAAGGCTGGGGCCCGACAGAGCTGTGGTTCCAACAAATTACTGTGAAATAACTCATCATTTAGCCCAACGACATGCTGCCACCGCAAAACGAGATCTGCCTCGTTTCCGGTGGGTAATTACCTTTGGAGAAGTACGTCCTTGACTTTTTCCAGAGGGGGATATTGCTGTTGAAAATGATACCCCTCCCCTCCATCCCAATACACTCGAGGCCTTTTTTGCTCCCAAATCTGGACGTGTAGTGAGGGCTCCTCAAAACGTGGTAAACTGCAGAGGACCTGCAGGGGAAGCCGGGATTCTTTCAATCTTTTATTATTTATTGTTTCTATGATAAAGAGATTCTAATCCTTTCTGTGACCAGAACCAGCTTGGCTAAAGTACGGAAGACGATTAGCGCCACTGAAAAAATAAAAGTTAAGTTAAATATTATTTCAGAATTCTGACTTTAATCTTGAAATTCTGAATTTTTTTTCAGAATTCTGACTTTTTTCTCTGAATTCTGACTTTGATTTCAGAATTATAACTTTAATATCAGATTTATGGCTTTTATATCTCTCTTCAGGTGATGAAGCAGACTGAAGAAAAATCTATTGGGCTTTTTTTGGCATCACAGCAATTATTCTTATTGCCAGACAGGTAAAAAAAGGAATTTTTACTTTAATCTCAGAATTCTGACTTTAATCTCAGAATTCTAACTTTAATCTCCAAATTCTGACTTTAATCTCAGAATTTTAACTCTAATCTCCAAATTCTGACTCTAATCTCAGAATTCTAACTTTGATCTCAGAATTCTGACTTCAATCTCAGAATTCTAACTTTAATCTCAGAATTCTAACTTTGATCTCAGAATTCTGACTTTAATCTCAGAATTCTAACTTAATCTCAGAATTCTGACTTAATCTCAGAATTCTGACTTTAATCTCAGAATTCTAAATTAATCTCAGAATTCTGACTTTAATCTCAGAATTCTAACTTTAATCTCAGAATTCTGACTTTAATCTCAGAATTCTAACTTTGATCTCAGAATTCTAATTTAATCTCAGAATTCTGACTTTAATCTCTTAATTCTGAGTTTAATATCAGAATTCTAACTTTAATCTCAGAATTCTAATTTAATCTCAGAATTCTGACTTTAATCTCAGAATTCTAACTTAATCTCAGAATTCTGACTTAATCTCAGAATTCTAACTTAATCTCAGAATTCTGACTTTAATCTCAGAATTCTAACTTTAATCTCAGAATTCTGACTTTAATCTCTTAATTCTGACTGTAATATCAGAATTCTAACTTTAATCTCAGAATTCTGAATTTAATCTCTTAATTCTGACTGTAATATCAGAATTCTAACTTTGATCTCAGAATTCTAATTTAATCTCAGAATTCTGACTTTAATCTCAGAATTCTAACTTAATCTCAGAATTCTGACTTTAATCTCAGAATTCTAACTTTGATCTCAGAATTCTAATTTAATCTCAGAATTCTGACTTTAATCTCTTAATTCTGACTGTAATATCAGAATTCTAACTTTAATCTCAGAATTCTAACTTTAATCTCCAAATTCTGACTTTAATCTCAGAATTTTAACTCTAATCTCCAAATTCTGACTCTAATCTCAGAATTCTAACTTTGATCTCAGAATTCTGACTTCAATCTCAGAATTCTAACTTTAATCTCAGAATTCTAACTTTGATCTCAGAATTCTGACTTTAATCTCAGAATTCTAACTTAATCTCAGAATTCTGACTTAATCTCAGAATTCTGACTTTAATCTCAGAATTCTAAATTAATCTCAGAATTCTGACTTTAATCTCAGAATTCTAACTTTAATCTCAGAATTCTGACTTTAATCTCAGAATTCTAACTTTGATCTCAGAATTCTAATTTAATCTCAGAATTCTGACTTTAATCTCTTAATTCTGACTTTAATATCAGAATTCTAACTTTAATCTCAGAATTCTGACTTAATCTCAGAATTCTAACTTAATCTCAGAATTCTGACTTTAATCTCAGAATTCTAACTTTAATCTCAGAATTCTGACTTTAATCTCTTAATTCTGACTGTAATATCAGAATTCTAACTTTAATCTCAGAATTCTGACTTTAATCTCTTAATTCTGACTGTAATATCAGAATTCTAACTTTGATCTCAGAATTCTAATTTAATCTCAGAATTCTGACTTTAATCTCAGAATTCTAACTTAATCTCAGAATTCTGACTTAATCTCAGAATTCTAACTTAATCTCAGAATTCTGACTTTAATCTCAGAATTCTAACTTTAATCTCAGAATTCTGACTTTAATCTCTTAATTCTGACTGTAATATCAGAATTCTAACTTTAATCTCAGAATTCTGACTTTAATCTCAGAATTCTGACTTTAATCTCAGAATTTTAACTCTAATCTCCAAATTCTGACTCTAATCTCAGAATTCTAACTTTGATCTCAGAATTCTGACTTCAATCTCAGAATTCTAACTTAATCTCAGAATTCTGACTTAATCTCAGAATTCTAACTTTGATCTCAGAATTCTAATTTAATCTCAGAATTCTGACTTTAATCTCAGAATTCTAACTTAATCTCAGAATTCTGACTTTAATCTCAGAATTTTAACTCTAATCTCCAAATTCTGACTCTAATCTCAGAATTCTAACTTTGATCTCAGAATTCTGACTTCAATCTCAGAATTCTAAATTAATCTCAGAATTCTGACTTTAATCTCAGAATTCTAACTTTAATCTCAGAATTCTGACTTTAATCTCAGAATTCTAACTTTGATCTCAGAATTCTAATTTAATCTCAGAATTCTGACTTTAATCTCTTAATTCTGACTTTAATATCAGAATTCTAACTTTAATCTCAGAATTCTAATTTAATCTCAGAATTCTGACTTTAATCTCAGAATTCTAACTTAATCTCAGAATTCTGACTTAATCTCAGAATTCTGACTTTAATCTCAGAATTCTAACTTTAATCTCAGAATTCTGACTTTAATCTCAGAATTCTAACTTTGATCTCAGAATTCTAATTTAATCTCAGAATTCTGACTTTAATCTCTTAATTCTGACTTTAATGTCAGAATTCTAACTTTAATCTCAGAATTCTGACTTTAATCTCAGAATTCTAACTTAATCTCAGAATTCTGACTTTAATCTCAGAATTCTAACTTAATCTCAGAATTCTGACTTAATCTCAGAATTCTGACTTAATCTCAGAATTCTGACTTTAATCTCAGAATTCTAACTTTAATCTCAGAATTTTGACTTTAATCTCTTAATTCTGACTGTAATATCAGAATTCTAATTTAATCTCAGAATTCTGACTTTAATCTCTTAATTCTGACTGTAATCTCAGAATTCTAATTTAATCTCAGAATTCTGACTTTAATCTCAGAATTCTAACTTAATCTCAGAATTCTGACTTAATCTCAGAATTCTAACTTAATCTCAGAATTCTGACTTTAATCTCAGAATTCTAACTTTAATCTCAGAATTCTGACTTTAATCTCTTAATTCTGACTGTAATATCAGAATTCTAACTTTAATCTCAGAATTCTGACTTTAATCTCAGAATTCTGACTTTAATCTCAGAATTTTAACTCTAATCTCCAAATTCTGACTCTAATCTCAGAATTCTAACTTTGATCTCAGAATTCTGACTTCAATCTCAGAATTCTAACTTAATCTCAGAATTCTGACTTAATCTCAGAATTCTAACTTTGATCTCAGAATTCTAATTTAATCTCAGAATTCTGACTTTAATCTCAGAATTCTAACTTAATCTCAGAATTCTGACTTTAATCTCAGAATTTTAACTCTAATCTCCAAATTCTGACTCTAATCTCAGAATTCTAACTTTGATCTCAGAATTCTGACTTCAATCTCAGAATTCTAACTTTAATCTCAGAATTCTAACTTTGATCTCAGAATTCTGACTTTAATCTCAGAATTCTAACTTAATCTCAGAATTCTGACTTAATCTCAGAATTCTGACTTTAATCTCAGAATTCTAAATTAATCTCAGAATTCTGACTTTAATCTCAGAATTCTAACTTTAATCTCAGAATTCTGACTTTAATCTCAGAATTCTAACTTTGATCTCAGAATTCTAATTTAATCTCAGAATTCTGACTTTAATCTCTTAATTCTGACTTTAATATCAGAATTCTAACTTTAATCTCAGAATTCTAATTTAATCTCAGAATTCTGACTTTAATCTCAGAATTCTAACTTAATCTCAGAATTCTGACTTAATCTCAGAATTCTGACTTTAATCTCAGAATTCTAACTTTAATCTCAGAATTCTGACTTTAATCTCAGAATTCTAACTTTGATCTCAGAATTCTAATTTAATCTCAGAATTCTGACTTTAATCTCTTAATTCTGACTTTAATGTCAGAATTCTAACTTTAATCTCAGAATTCTGACTTTAATCTCAGAATTCTAACTTAATCTCAGAATTCTGACTTTAATCTCAGAATTCTAACTTAATCTCAGAATTCTGACTTAATCTCAGAATTCTAACTTAATCTCAGAATTCTGACTTTAATCTCAGAATTCTAACTTTAATCTCAGAATTTTGACTTTAATCTCTTAATTCTGACTGTAATATCAGAATTCTGTCTTTAATCTCAGAATTCTAACTATAATCTCAGAATTCTGACTTTAATCTCTTAATTCTGACTGTAATATCAGAATTCTAACTTTAATCTCAGAATTCTGACTTTAATCTCTTAATTCTGACTGTAATATCAGAATTCTAACTTTAATCTCAGAATTCTGACTTTAATCTCTTAATTCTGACTTTAATATCAGAATTCTAACTTTAATCTCAGAATTCTGACTTTAATCTCTTAATTCTGACTTTAATATCAGAATTCTAACTTTAATATCAGAATTCTAACTTTAATCTCAGAATTCTGGCTCAATTCTTACAGCTAACGAAGCTGTTAGCATCAAGCCGTGAAGTAGCATCACCAGGGACCCCTCGGTCACATAAAAAGTCGCCTAATTCCGTCATTTTCCACCAATGTGTTCCTGTTTCTCCCAAACAACTCATATCTTTCTCAGTGAAGCTGAGTGCTCCACATCTCTTTGAGAGATGATCTAAAATTCTGAGATTAAAGTCAGAATTCTGAGATTAAAGTCAAAATTCTGACTTTTTTCCCATATTAAACTGAAATAAAATGTAAAATTAACTTTTTAAAATTTTTTTAAGTGGCCCTAATCCTCTTCCATGCAGAAGTCATAAAAGTTATTCATGAAAAATAAGCCTGAACAGACCTTTATAAGATGTTTCAACAGCAGCTGAAGGTTCTGTGAATTGAGCCAAAAATGATCAATTACCAAAATGCACACCTGCTGAAAATGATGGTTTCCTCCCCGTTGATCCAGATCCGGACAGTGCTGCCATATTTGTTGTTGTAGTAGTTACTGGCTGTTCCAATCCCGGTCCATATAAATCTGCCGTAGGACAGGACAGGTCCAAGTCCTGCTAAGAAACGAGGACCTGAAAGAGAGCGGTTGTAAATCAGACCTGGCTTTTCTGAACTCTGACCTGTTTTTTATGGGAATGAGCAGAAAAGAAATGTTTCCTAAAAACAGATTTTACCAACAGAATTAATTCAGCATCCTACAGTTTCTATGTTGCAGAACGACACACTGTACCTGGTATGTGTGAGCTTTGAGTTTTTCTCCAGCTGGAGATGAGCAGAATCAGCAGCAGAAGCAGAAGCAGGGCGGTAGTGACTTCGCACAGACTGTGACCTTCCACAGAACCAGTGGTGATCGTCTCTGGCACCATTATTCACTCTGTTTATCTAAGGCTTTGTGTAAAACGGACTTGGTTTACTGCTTCGGCTGCCTGTTGGTTAAAAAGAGCAGATAAAACATCTTTCATCACCCGTCCTCTTCCTCTCCTTTAATCCCTCTGTCCTTATGCGTTGGGAGGCAACAGAACCAAAATATACGGGCAGCAACATCATCAACAAGAGAGTCTTTTAAAAGAGTTCACACCCCTGGAAAATCTCCAGTTATTCTTTATGTGACGAATCAGAGTTATAAATCATTTTAACTGCTTACAAAAGGAAATTCTCACCAAAGTCAGTGGAAAAAACAACTTTTTTCAATTTTAAGGTTTTCATTTTCTAAATTGCGAGAACCTTCTGTTATATATAAGTAGAGATGTTTTTTTTTTGGTTTGTATATGATTCTGCATTTTTTTAGTTTAAAAAAAATCAATGATACATTTTATTTTATTACACAAAGAAAAAAGATTTAATTATTTTACACAGTGGAACATATAAATAATTTTAAATCTTTTCTTAATAAACATTTAATTTGATTAATGATGGTTAGTTGCTTCAACACAAATGCATATAATACATTTAACTGTGTTTTCTTTGTTAAATTTTAATGTATTAATTTGCTAAAATTTAATTAAAATTAGGAGCACCTCCTGTCGGGTGTAAGTTGAAATGCAAAATGTGTTTTTCTCATTTTCTTCTTCAGAAATTAGCATTTAACATTTGATTAAATTAATAAATTAGTTTTTTTTTTTTTTACTTATTAGACATTTTATTTATTCAATCTTATTAGTTTATGGTTTTTAAAACAAGTTGACCAACAGAGTTTTTAAAAACGCTTATTTTCCCAGAACACAAACAATCTCTTAGTATTAAAATGTCGACATAATCCAATCATTTGATAATCTTAACATCATTTTTATTATTTTTGTATTTTTTTTAGTTAAAGTTAAATGAGAAAATATCAAAGAAAACAAATTAAAAAAAGAACCAAATTGTGAATAAAAAATAAAATCAGATGAATTAAATTAATCAGATTAAGCAATGCTACTAACCTCTCCTCTCCTGACAAGTGAAGTTTGAGGAGCTGCAGAGCTGCTTCCACTGGTTTTAGAGGTGGTCTACATTCGTCCACCAAATAAACGACACTGGTTAGAGTGTTTATAAATCCTTGGTGGGACTTTCACTCCAATGGTTGCTTGGAAACTTTGCCACTTTTGGGTTACAAGGACTACATGGCAGTGAACCGCAAATCAGGTCAAACAGTGCATGTCTAAAGCATAAATTAGCATTTTTTTTATTTTTTATTATTGAGCCAGATACAAAAGGATCGACTCTATTCTGAACGTCTTGTGAAGTCTTTATTTTTCCGCGCTCTTTTTGTGCAGAAAAACCCGAGGATCCAATTCATGGAGCGAGGAGGCTTTTCAAGGGGAAATTAATTAGCTGGGTCAGGCTGACCGTGTCAAAGGAAGCTGGGACTTACCCAACAATTCAAGGAGGAAAACAGAATAATACAGATACATGAATGAACGTGTAAAGAAATCCAACTCATCTTTATGGAATTTTATTTTGAACTGTGGTTTAGCTGAAGGTTTTTTTTTAATGGGTTTATGGGAAGAACCTGTTAGGAAAAGGCTGTTCTTCAGCTTTTTTCTAACTGGTTATTCAGCTCTTTTCAGTTCCCTGAGAAACTTGGTTTCACACTTTTCACTTGAAATCATTTAGTATTTGACATGCAGGATTTAAAGCTGTGTGAAAAAGTTTTTGCCTCCTTACAGATTACTTCTGTTTTTATCTTTTTTTTCCACACAGGAATAAATAAACAAAAGAAAAACTTATATTTTTTATTTACTAAGTTTTTAGTTTTTATAAATCATATATGATTTAATTATTAGGTTGTTATTTAGGGAAATAAAACTTAGTTAATCAATTTCAGTTCTGTTCAGTTTATTTCTATAGCTCCAATTCACATCATGTCATCTCAGGTCACTTTCCAGTTCACCAGATCATCCAGTCAGATTGAAGTTTTCTATCTAAGGAAAACCAGCTGATTGCATCGACTCATTGACTCTTCAGCAATCCCTCACACTAAGCATGCTTGTAGCGACAGTGGAGAGGAAAAACTCCCTTTGAACAGGAAGAAACCTCCAGCAGAACCAGGCTCAGTGTGAGCGGCCATCTGCTGAGGCCCACTGGGGTTCAAGGAGACAGAAGCAGACATAGAAAAAGAAGCATAGATACAAAAAGCAGCTGTAAAAGGCGGCCTCGTCCAGGAAACACACAGCCAGGCAGACGAGCTCCGAGCCAGCTCCCATGTCAGAGGATGAAGAGAGCACATCCAGTTAGTCACACTCAGAGAAACAGGACTACACTGGAAAACAGGCAGATCTCCAACATCTAGAAACAAAGGTGTTGATGGCAGCAGCACAGCTGATATTTCTCTCCAGGATGGAGTCACAGCCAAACAGGAACAGACCAGATGAAGCTACTATGAGAAAAAGCAGAGAGAGCAGAACGTTAGAGATTGAACTAACAGATTCTGCAGAGTGGGAGAATAGAGATAGAATGAAGCAGAATTATGAAAAAGGGGTCCCTATGTCCTCCAGCAGTCTAAGCCTATAGCAGCAGAACTATAGAGATAGCTCAGGATAACCTGAGCCACTCTAACTAGAAGCTTTATCAAAAAGGAAAGTTTTAAGTTTTAACCGGCAAAGAGTGTTTTAAATAAATTCAGAATGGTTCATATTGGCCATATTTAAACATTAAGAACCAGTTTACAGTCCTACCACAGCTTCCCCTTTGCTTACACACATCATCCACATTTTAAACAGCCTTCAGATTATTATTTTTATTTATTTATAGCCATTTAGAAGTCAACTTATTGCTTGAAGTTCCAATTGTAGTGCTGCTGCTCTTCTCCAGTGAGCTTAGAGCCAGGGTCACCAACTGATGGCGAAACATGATGAATGAATGCAGGAATTTATTGTTTCAATATTTTCAACCTGTGTTCCAGATGCTGCAACAGGAAAGCAGCAGGAGAACATATCATGAACCTCACTATGACTCACAGAATGATGTTTCTCTGAAGTACTGGACCTAATAACAGGACGCACATTCTAAAACACACGGATTATTTTACTTCAATGTTCACTGTGATTTAATGAATTCAGGGTTAATCAATAAAAAATGTAAAGAATTTTCCTGGCGATCACTGAGTCTGGGAGCGGCCATTTTTGCCCAAATATAGTAGCCCCTCCCTCCTGCCATCTTCCAGCAGTGACGTCACGGTGCGGTAAGCCTAGCGCCATTCTCCCCGCTTTACAAGCTAAATCCGCGGTTCTCAAAGTGTGTGGCGCGACCCACTGGTGGGGAATTGAGACGTGACAGGTGGGGCGCGCCAAGTTCCGGTGTGTGTGTGTGTGTGTGTGACTATAAATGTAGAACGTGTGAGAGCAAACTGTCCTTATAGCTGTATGTTGCCGCTTTTTAGACCAATCAAACCCACAAAGTAATCATTACTAGCCTACATGCAGTCTAATTAAAAGAACATTAGATATGAGAAAAATTTCACCTGGAACTGAAGTGCCAAAATAATGATTGACGTGACGTCGGCATATTATTTGTAACGGAATAAACTTTCGCGCCCCAGTGTTGCCAACTCAGCGACTTTGTCGCTATATTTCAGACCCCTCCAGCGACTCTTTTTCAAAAAAGCGACTAGCGACAAATCTAGCGACTTTTGGAGACTCTTACGTGAAAGCACGTATCGTTCCTTTTCTTGTCCTCCAGCGGCAGGTGCTGCCGTGGGGCGCCTCTGTCCCAACCCCGTTCTCCCCCGCTATCGCAGGAGTCCCTCTCAGCGCTGCAGAGACACAGCATGTTTACCCTCAGCGTCCAGACTGCAAATAAAGCGCACATGCGCCGGGATTGACGGCGCAGGTTGATCATAAATAACTGAATTTGAAATATTTTATCTTAAATAAATAGGACCAGTTTATTGAAATGACATCTGACTCCACCCTGAGGCTCAGGTTTAATGCTCAGACTAATAGTGAATTCTGGTTTGGAGTGGAGAGGGAGTTTCCACTCATCGGGCAGAGAGCTGTTTGCATTCTTCTTCCCTTTGCCACATCATATCTCTGTGAGATGGGCTTTTCAGCTGTTGCTTCAATGAAAACAAAATACAGATCTCAGCTGAACATTGAGCATGACTTGAGAGTGGCAGTATCAAGCCTGCAACCCCGTTTTGAGAAACTGTGCAATGCAAAACAGGCTCATTGCAGCCACTAATGCAGGGATAAATAGACCTGTATTGCCAGATGGATTTCACTTCTTTTCTTTTATTAACAGATTTATTTTTTCTATCTTTGAGCTTGATACAAATTTTGACACAGCTGCATTTTTATTTTCTTTATTTTTGAGCTTGCTGTTATTTGATGTAGATAGTTTGTATTTAGATACTACTTGTTACTTCAATAAAATTGGAAAATTTTAAGATTGTTGCATATTTCATTAGCATTGTGTTGGGGCGATGGGGACTGGCGGGGCTTGAAAATTCCCCCTTGTCCAAAGTGGGGAATGACAGAAAAAGTTTGAGAACCACTGAGCTAAATCAATGGGAACTACTAGACACATCTGCAATCAACAACAATTATTGAAGATTTCCAGAGGACTTCACCATTGAAATTCACCAGAGCTATAGTGAAACTGACAATGCCCACGTGCATGGCAGCTGGATGCTGGAATACATCGGGTAAAAGTGAAAAGAGTTATTCCACCTTTCTGATTCCTGATCCTCCACGGACGGGTTGGTCGTTGGATCGCCAACTTGAAGAGGGAGGATTTGCCATCGAACTTCTGGCCAGAGAAAAAACCCGTAATATGTAGCCAACATTTGGAAGAAGAATGTTTTCAAGATGACTTGGATAATAGCGCGTTGTGACAAACACCAGATACAGCACTGGGACTTGATCAACAGCCGATACCGCACCGTGACATGTCACTAACCAGTAGGTGGCAGTAGTGTTCTTTGACAAACATGGATGCCTCCAGTAAAGAACATTCACATGAAAATTACTCTGAATTAAAAACACTGATCATTTATTGAACAGGATGGAATCATTTCAGATTTAAAGTTGAATTCTGAATATGATCGGACTTTTTCTTCAACTGTGGAAAGTGACGGATAGAAAGCTTTAGAAGTCGCTATGGGTTTTTACTTTACCTCCTGGATGAGTTCTGGATGCCCTCTTGCAGCATCTTTTGTAGATGGTGGATCTGACTGCAGAGTCTTAGAGTCTCTAAAAAAGCCTTTCAGACGCAGATTATTTATGTTTAACATCTGTTTCAAATTTTTGAAGCTCGGGGGAAACATTGTTCCTTTTTTCTATCAATCTTACTAAACAGTCTTTTATGATTTTTGAATCAGCAGAGACTGAAGCATCTCTCCTAAAACATGGCCTGTCCTAGTTGGTACGGGATCTAACATGAGATTGTTTGATTTAGATATTTTCTTCTCCGAAACATTTTCCTAATTGCAATTTCATTTTGTATTTATTTTGAGTAGATTATGTTTTTCTGGTGTTGCAGCTCGTTGCATGATCTGACATCTGCATGGAGGCGTGAGCCTTTTTGCAGCACTGTATGTAATATTTGAGAATGCGCTGGAAAGAAAAGGGCTTTTTGGACTCCCACACGTCCTTCTACACAGTCTGTCATTTACAAAGACTTCTCAGAAAGCTGCTTTAGACTCTAACAGTGTGTCCCTTGTTTCAAACTTATTTATGCCACTTCTTAAGCATTTAGATTGTTTTTTTCTGGGGATAATTTTGAAAGCAAAAGCACTAGAAGGATGAGAAGTCATAGTCTGTCAGCAGGATGTCATTCATGAAATATGTCTATTATACTTAAATCCGGCAATGTTTCCCAGATGCCGGTTGCGCAACACCGTGTGTGTCTCCACAGTCGCACAGGCACATTTTGACATGTTTATTCCTCTCCAGTAGCCTGACTGAGCTGCTCTCTGACGTCTCATATGTTGGCTGCCTCTCAGATATGTGCTTCTGAGTTTCACAGCTCAGATATCTCGGCAGTTGAAAAGGAGGGAACGGCGCACCAGACATGAAAGACGGGAAAGAAACTTTTCCCAAGTGGAAAACCTGGCTGGTGGGTACGTGTGTAGCGCTGCTGCTGCTTCTAGCCTCTGCAGGTCTAGTTTTCCTCTGGGTTCAGCAGCAGGAGCTGGCAGAGGAGCTGGGCAGGCTGGACTCCCAGATGCAGGAGCTGGCACAGTACTGCAGGCTGGCAGCAGGACGGCTGCCAGAGGAAAGTGGAAAGGCTGGAGATGTGAGAAAGCTCCGGCGCACCAGACGGAACCAGGGGGGACAATGGACTCAGAGAAAGGACCAGGACAAGCTGATGCTGATGACGCACACTCTGCTTCCTGTAAGATAACTCACTGCCTGCACATTGCTTCTTCTACAGATGATAGGATTTATCTACCATTCATTTTACATTTACATTTCTGCTGTTATTTCTAAATGAAAACCTTCCTTCTTCCTTCCTTTTTCCTCTTGGAAGAGCAACTACACTGAAAAAAAATTGAGGTTGACAGAACTTAAATTTTCCAGGCAATGTGATGCTTTTGGTTTTTTGAGTTTTCCTTACTTAAATTCACTGTGGTTAAGTTTACAAAGATTTTTTAAGTTCTGCCAACTTAGGTTTTTGAGTTTCACCTTTAAGTTCTGAGTTCTATCAACTTTGTTTTATGAGTTTGACATATAGATTTTGAGTTCTACAAACTCAGATTTTGTAGTGTTATCTGCAAGTTGAGTTCTATCAACTCAGTTTTTTTAGTCCTACCAATCGTCTTCACTACCAATCATTCAACACACAAAAAATTATGTTAATACAACATTTTTATTGCTTCAAGTCAAACATTGTATCAATAGATACAGTATAAAACCATGTTCAAGAACATAATCTTAACTGCACAGATCAAAGTAACCTGACACTGGACCAGAATGTTCTAGATTCGTAAGAGGGAGTGATGATGAGGGAAAAAACAGTAAGACACCGATTTAGTAAGAGGAAAACACACAGGTAATTTTTTGTGAAGTAAGTGTGAATTATACAAACTGATTGGAAACTTCATGAGTCTGTTACATCTATTTGGAAGGGTCTGTGTTTTAATGTTTCCCTTGATAAATACATGGAGCGATGGAGGAGAACCTGTTTCCTTCTCAACTCATACCCTGTAAGCAGGGGTGGATTCAGGAAATGTGGGGCCCTAGGCAAAGACAGGCAGGGGGCCCCTCTGAATGGAGAAGACAACACATAAAACAGCCCCATTCTCCAGATAGAGAAATGTTAATAGAATAGACATCCATTATCTGTTCTAGGTTGTGTCCCTCTCTTCTTGTCCCTTTTCTTCTTGTTTTCCTCTCTATGTTTTGTTCTCAGCTGACTTTTCATGCTGTCTCTAAAGGAATGAAAGATTTTTTCCAAGCACTAAGCTCACTTAGCTGATTGCTCCTTCCTGTGTTTCCTAAAAGGCCAAAGTAAATAACCCAGTCCTTCTTTTCACTGTAGACAAGCCATGATCTGCTTCTCTGTTCTCCATTTTTCATTTGGATGAAATAATAGCTGCATGAATCATGACAGCAGACAAGATAGAGGAGAGCAGGAGGCGGGGTTACCAATCTACTCGCTCTGGAGAGCAGAGTTCGCTGCTTTTAGATGTTGTCTCCAAAGTCTCCAGTAGCAGAAAAAAGTCTCTAGATTTGGCGCTAGGAGCTTTTTAGAAATCAAAGTGCTAGAGGGGTCTGAAAAGTGGCTAAATATAGCGACTAAAGCGCTAAGTTGGCAACACTGCTCTTTGCATGGTTTGTTTTCAAATGGTTTGCTGCTGTCTGTTTGGACCTTTCTGAACATGTGCAGCAAATGGACTGATCCAATATGGTGGACACTGAAGGGGGGGGCTGAGACACACTTAATATTATCAGCGTTCTGATGGCATTTTAATGAAAGGATTTTTATTAAAAACAAAATTAATGTGCACAAATGTAAAGAAGTAAACAGAGTTTTGTGGGCCCCCCAGGAACTTGGGGTCCTAGGCACCTGCCTAGTATTGCCTAATGGTAAATCCCCCCCCTGCCTGTAAGGCCTGGCACTTCTGTTAAGGCTGGTTATGGGCTTCAACACTTCATTATATGGTTGGGTATTCGGAGCTTGTTTCATTGACATTAAATGCTCAGTTGACGTTAATTAGGTCTACTTAAGTGCCAAGACTAAATACAGCTTTACCAGATATACTAAAGATTACTGATAAAAACCACATAACACCACCGTTTATTAAACAAACAAAGTGTGCCTGATAAAAACAAGAACAGCTTGTAAAGAGTTTCATGGAGCAGTTCTCCTAGGCCGGGAGGCAGCTGTATTCAACACAAAGCATCAGATTCAGGGGTGTAAAGCATGCCGCCACTGGACTACAGATCAGAGGAGTCCAGTTTCTAGAGAGGCTATTCATCCCCTCTGAGATATCCTGTGTCGAGTGTAAAGTTTAGAGCTGAGAGACGTTATGGGGTGATCTATTGAGGATCATTAGAATCCAATGAAAGCTAACATGCAAGTTGTTCATAGATAAACGCACACCTGTACAAGATAATGTGTTGTTCCCTTTTTACAAAGCACTACGCCTAAGAAGGTTATATTTGAATAATAACAGATTGCAGGATTCCCCTACCATGGGAAGTGTTGGCCTAGGTCAGAGGTCACGGATCCGGACCCAACCTGATTTAAAACATTTATAAATTACCGCATGCTGTCTGACGACAGTGTCTAATTTCACTTGCGCCTCTTCTCCTGTTAATACGGTAAAGCCCTGGGGAGCGTCCGGCTCCAGGCTGCACGTGATCCAAATGAGCCAATGAGCTGTCAGTCTGGGTTGCTGCTGCTGCTACTTTTAGACACAGCAGGCAAACCTGTGGCAAGCCGGGCGATGGGAAAGAAGGAGAAGACCATGAGAAAAAGAGAGCAGAGAAAGTGTGGACTGCTGGAAGAACTGCGGTGAACTGGTGAAAGAAAAGTGAAATGGCGTGCTCAAAGATGACCCTGCACATTTAGAGGATGTTTGGCTCAACCTGCTGCTGTGAAGCAGGATTCTCCACCATGAACAGAATCAACACTAAATCTGGATCCAGGCTCAAAATGAGCTCCTTGATATGTGCTTGAGAATGGCTTAGTCTCCGGTTAAACCCAGGTTTAAAGCCTTGCAGGGCAGCCTAAAGCCCACTGCCAACATTAAGACAGAAAAAAGGAAGGAAATAACAAACCATCAGTTCAGGGGTTTGAGAAAATATGGGAATCAGGAAATTATCTATAAACCAAACTGAATGATTGTTGTTCTCTACTTCAAAAACCACTTTACATTTTATGATTGCAAAAATGTTCTTTTTTCCCGATTTTTTTATTTAAATATTCACTGTATAACATCGATGCATAAAAAAAACTCATTTTATTTCAGTGTTAGATTCTGTTTAAAGTAACAGATTATAATTTAAAATGTCTCCAGACCTTTACTGGTTGATGATTTTCTGCATTTGGACCCCAATGATTTTTAATTGGTTACCTCTGGCCTAGTGGGGTAGAGCAGTGTGCTTATGCTCCGAGAAGGAGCATTCTTGGTCCCTGAGCCAGACCATTAACCCACACTGCTCCCCAAGTGGATGGGTTAAATGTAGAGATTTCGTTTCTCCACTGTGAGATCAGTGAAGTTCAATTAATTTATTATTTTAATTATTAATCAAAGTATACCTTAGGATTCTTATAACCAGGTCTATGTATGTTTTTTTTTTCAGGTCAAAGCCTACCTTGATCTTTGCAACAGCTCCACAGGAGTTTGTTTGATAGGTATGAATATTTTCTGCTAATCTCGTCTTATTCGTTTGTGGTTTCTTTACTGTTAAAGTCTAACAGAAATATTACTTCTCCTCTTTTTCAGGTCCACCTGGTCCCCGAGGTACCGGAGCCACGCTTCAGTTTGCTGTATAACTTTTTATGGTTTGTTGCTCCTGCATTAAAAGTATTTTTGTGTATCAGGTGTGCGTGGCAGGCCTGGCCCCCCAGGACCACCAGGTGCACCAGGCCCAGAGGGAAGACGAGGACGCAGAGGTCAGGATCCTTTTCAGTGTCTCAGCCAATGAAAAATGTCCAGAGTCTTTAACAGTAGCTCAAAACAGATGAAGAAATCCAGACACAGAAGCTGTTTCCATGTTTTAAACAGTCTGTCATTGTTTGGCTGGGATTGCACAACACGGTCATAACACTCACTGCCTGCAGGACATTTAGTCTGCAGCCGCTGCAGACGTGTTTACTGCACTGAGGTGTCTGTGATTCCTGCAGCTGATTAACGTGAATTATTTAACTTCAACATAAACTAGAAAAGCATCGTGCTAACAGCGCTGTTTCTTCTTCATCCAGGATAAACTCTTTTGTGTTGAACTTCAAAAGAAAGTTGTCGTGTTCAGTCATGTTTCATGTGACTCAGAGGGAGAACCAATTAACTCTGGTTCATCCTGTTTTCTTACAGCTTAGTCTTTGGTTACGGCAGTTTTTGATTGTTATAATCTTTCCTGTTATTAACGGTAGCAAATGTCAGTAAGTTCCACAATCTAATGATGTTGTTGGAGTTGAACAAAGACACATATTTAAACGCTAAAATTAATGGAAGCTACACATATCTTCTGCTTTTTTTTGTAGCATTAGAATCTTTTAACCTTCAAAAATTTTTTACATCAGACATAGATAAGTTGGTTAAACAAAAGCAATGAAATTAATTAATCTAAACCAACCTGGAAACCAATCTATGAAGATATTTACTCTCTAAACAGTCATTAAGCTTTGGTGGAGAGTAACTAAGTAGATTTACTTGATTACTGTGCTGAACAGAATTATCATCATTTTTTATGCTTGTCCATATTAAGGTCAGACGTCCAGTAAAGTGTATCCAGATGCATCTGATGCTTGCATCTGACCCAATGGCGTAACGACACAACAATAGGCCTGTAAGCAACGTTATCTGGGTGGGCCCCATATGAAGTGCAACACCTGATAAAGGTTCAGGATACAGCGACAGTTACATAATTCAGCCAAGAAGATACAATTATGCAATAAATGATTACAAAACACAAAAAATAGTGACTGTGCACCTTGAATGGAACCATTGGTTAGGGATGCACGATATAATCGGCCCCCTATCGGTATCGGCCTTAAAACTGAATATCGGACATCGGCCAGCCCACCGATATTTAACCCGATATTTGATCAGCTTCTGAGTTTCTAAAGTCTAAAAAAATAAAAAATACTACTTCTTCCTCTTCCTCAAACACTTTTTTACAGACTTAAAAACTTCTAAAGACGAGGGAAAAAATATTGATCCATTAAAATATCCCAATATCTTCATATGCTGATATATTGCCATTTAAAAACACCACATCAATCTCTTTTACTAATGAAATATTGCTATATGTCATCGTTATGCTACGAAATCCCCCGAAAATTCACAAAATGTTGCCATATTTTTATACACTATATTGCCAAAAGTATTTGCTCACCCATCCAAATTATTGGAATCAGGTGTTCCAATCACTTCCATGGCCACAGGTGTATAAATTCAAGCACCTAGGCATGCAGACTGTTTTTACAAACATTTGTGAAAGAATGGGTCGCTCTCAGGAGCTCAGTGAATTCCAGCGTGGAACTGTGATAGGATGCCACCTGTGCAACAAATCCAGTCGTGAAATTTCCTCGCTCCTAAATATTCCACAGTCAACTGTCAGCTGTATTATAAGAAAATGGAAGTGTTTGGGAACGACAGCAACTCAGCCACGAAGTGGTAGGCCACGTAAACTGACGGAGCGGGGTCAGCGGATGCTGACGCGCATAGTGCGAAGAGGTCGCCAACTTTCTGCAGAGTCAATCACTACAGACCTCCAAACTTCATGTGGCCTTCAGATTAGCTCAAGAACAGTGCGCAGAGAGCTTCATGGAATGGGTTTCCATGGTCGAGCAGCTGCATCCAAGCCATACATCACCAAGTGCAATGCAAAGCGTCGGATGCGGTGGTGTAAAGCACGCCGCCACTGGACTCTAGAGCAGTGGAGACGCGTTCTCTGGAGTGACGAATCGCGCTTCTCCATCTGGCAATCTGATGGACGGGTCTGGGTTTGGCGGTTGCCAGGAGAACGGTACTTGTCTGACTGCATTGTGCCAAGTGTAAAGTTTGTTGGAGGGGGGATTATGGTGTGGGGTTGTTTTTCAGGAGCTGGGCTTGGCCCCTTAGTTCCAGTGAAAGGAACTCTGAATGCTTCAGCATACCAAGACATTTTGGACAATTCCATGCTCCCAACTTTGTGGGAACAGTTTGGAGCTGGCCCCTTCCTCTTCCAACATGACTGTGCACCAGTGCACAAAGCAAGGTCCATAAAGACATGGATGACAGAGTCTGGTGTGGATGAACTTGACTGGCCTGCACAGAGTCCTGACCTCAACCCGATAGAACACCTTTGGGATGAATTAGAGCGGAGACTGAGAGCCAGGCCTTCTCGTCCAACATCAGTGTGCGACCTCACAAATGCGCTTCTGGAAGAATGGTCAAAAATTCCCATAAACACACTCCTAAACCTTGTGGACAGCCTTCCCAGAAGAGTTGAAGCTGTTCTAGCTGCAAAGGGTGGACCGACGTCATATTGAACCCTATGGATTAGGAACGGGATGTCACTTAAGCTCATATGTGAGTCAAGGCAGGTGAGCAAATACTTTTGGCAATATAGTGTATGTTGATATATTGACGCGGTATCGATCTATTTTACTAACAAAATCTCACAAGAATTTGCAAAATATCACGAGAGTTTGTAACAGAACGATGAAATTTCACGAGATTTTGAAAGTAAAATAGATCGATACCGCGTTTTTAAAAATCTATTTGATATCAGCATATGAAAATATATTTGAGTATATTATATTTCAAAGTGTCAGAAATGGATAACAAAACTGCTATTTACAATGACTACTTATTTTTGTCCAGCTTTAACATCGGTATCGATATCGGTTATCGGCTACATGAGTTTTAAAATATCGGCATATCGGCCAAAATCCCAATATCGTGCATCCCTACCATTGGTGACAGCGCACCACATGTCACAGACATCCCAAGTTCCAAAAATTAATTTCAGGGAGATGCTTATTGAAGTCTAATGGTAAATTTCCCCCAGTCTGTCTCCCTGCCAGCTCCCAGATCAGCTTCTGATTGGTTGATGTGGTGCTTCGAGCAGCAAAAGTAGCTGCAGCTTTTGCGTCCCGCGCGTCAGATACTTAAGAGCTCATGAGGAGCTGCTGCTTGAAATGAGCTGCAGGACCTTTTGCTGCGCCATGATGTTCGTCAACCATTGACTTTGCATTAGAGACTGACATTTTTTCGCAGGATTCCCGTGGGATGGGAGTCAGTATTAGTAACGATCACGTGATTGGGACGGTACAGGATTAAACATTAACGGGAGCAGACGGGAGCGGGAGCAAACCAATAGTAACTAAAAAAACTAGGATCGATGCCAAAAAAATAAAATATAATAGAAAGAAAAAAATGTCAGTACTGGCGCCGCCATTTTGTAGTTTTTTTCCTTGAAGCCTACACTATAATGTGAGTCAAAAAAACTACACAACCCAAAAACCAACAGTGCTTCCGCTCTGAGTTTTTCACCCGCGCTCAAAAACAACAAGAATGGGAGTGGAGCAGGAGCGGGAGTCATTCTGAATGGGAGTGGGAGTAATTTCACCAGGAGTGGGACTGGACAGGATTTAGATTTCTACTCTGGCCCGGGATCGGGACGGGACACCATTTTTTTCTGTGGGAGTGGGACGGGACAGGAGTGAAAATCCACTCCCGTATCAGTCTCTACTTTGCAGTAAACCAGCTGTTTCTGCCGCCTCTAGCGCGTGCAGTCTGAACGTAGCATTAGTCAACAAACAATAAATTTTGTCTTTTTTTGTCTAAAGCAGATATAAATGACAGGAATCAGTGAAATTACACAAAATTAGTTACAAAAAAAATCCTTTATACACATCTTTAGAAGAGTTAAAGATAGTTTTACTTCTCTCTGCTTTTTATCATTCATGTTTTCAGTTGTTACCTGCACACGTTTTAATGTGTTGTTTTCTTTTGACAAATGCATGAAATACAATTAAAAAAATGAACAAATGATAAAATCTAAATCTCACTTTACTTTCCCTAATGCCTATTATTTGTTTATATAAAGGTCTTCCTGGTCCTCCATGTCCCACCTGTTGTCCAACTGAAGAAAGAAAGAAGAAACCAGATGAACGAAAAATGTTTCCAAAGGGTAAAAACATTATTTACAGCAGTTTCATTTAGTTCTTTCCATGAAAAACACCTGAGATAAAGAATTCAGCACTAATTAAGAGACACTTTCTTGGAAAAACACTGGATGGGTTAGTTTGGACTAATTCTGATAGAGAAATATTTTTAGCTCCATTAATGTCAGTTTGTAGAAATTAAACTTAACAAAAAAAAAAAAAACCTTGAAAAACACTGAAAAGTGTTTAAAAAAATGAAATATGATAAAAATCCAAAGGATTTCAATCGTAATTATACTTTAAACTTTTAAATATTTCCTATATTTTATGAAAATACATAAATAAACATCTTTGTAAACTGAATCAAGCTGTTGTTCAGTTTCTGGACTTTTGAAGCAGGATGGACTCGTTAGTGAAAATCGTAAATATTGCTGTTATGGACTGTAGGAAGGTGAAGGAATTGGATTAAATAAGTTTCACTTCTTTGCAGATATAAGCACTAAATTATACACGTTATTCAATTCAATTCAGTTTATTTCTATAGCTCCGATTCACATCATGTCATCTCAGGTCACTTTCCAGTTCACCAGATCATCCAGTCAGATTGATTCAAAGTTTTCTATCTAAGGAAAACCAGCTGATTGCATCGACTCATTTACTCTTCAGCAATCCCTCACACTAAGCATGCTTGTAGCGACAGTGGAGAGAAAAAAACCATTTGAACTGGAAGAAACCTCCAGCAGAACCAGGCTCAGTGTGAGCGGCCATCTGCTGAGGCCCACTGGGGTTCAAGGAGACAGAAGCAGAGACAGAAAAAGTAAATGTAAGGGGGGGGGGGTGCGTCTTTGGCTCTTCACAACCACTATTGAGCATTTTTCCTTTGGATAAACAAGTGCACTTTCACAAACAACTACAGGTGCTTGGTTCCAGGTACTAAGAGATTCCCTTCCATACAGAAAGCCCATGTTCTTATCTTCAGCTCCCACGGTATACATGTCATATTAAATAATACCACTTATACTTCAGCGATAGTATCTAGGTGTTGCTTTATTGTATGTCTTGTACCATGTCTGTTGGTTGTGCTTGTCATGATTTTACTAAGGTTCAGTTCAGACCCAAATGCAGAAGACCAAACAGGGAGACCAGGGAAAAGGTTTAACAGGTTTTATTGAAGAGATAATTCAGAGAGAAGTGTTGCTCTGAACACTGCTCAACCGGAACTGAAAAGTGAGGGGAAGACACAGCGGTTAGTTCAGGCTCAGTGGGAAATTTGACTTGTGAACTTGGGGAAGAGGATTTGGTTGCCGACTCACGTTTCCAGAGAAGTTGTTGAATCCTTTACTCCAGTCTGTATGCTGTAGTTCCAGTGTATGTCTGATTCGGTGGAGGGCGGAACAGGATTACCCAGAATGTGGTTGTTAATAGGTGAACGGAGAAAACTGACTGCCACTTAGATTTCCTGCGGTACTTGACGGGTCATAGTGGAGATTAATCCCTTTCTCAGTGAGAAGCTCAAACGATCTCTTGGGAAAAGTGGATCCAAACCTCCTGTTTGAACCCAAGCTCAGTTTGAAGTTCAGTTGATCCTTCCAGGGAGAGAAGGTCCGAAAAATCCAGTTAGCAGGATGACTTCCTGCTGAGAGGCAAAAGACAAACAATGTTAAAACTCAGGTTGACAAGAACTCAGTTTGACTCAACAAAACTCAGCTTGGCTAGAGTACCCAAAACTGGCAAAAACTCTGGCGTCAGGTAGTGACAGTCAGCAGCTTAAGAACGCTCCGTTTAACGAGGAAACCATCAGCAGGTGTGTGAGGAGGCGAACCAGAACCAGGCGCCTCCTGGTGGAGGAAGGGAGACAAACACAGAAAACACAAACAGACAGACAGGAGTCCTGACAGTGCTTTTTACATCTCTTTGCAGGTGATGAAGCAGACTGAAGATGTTTTATCATTATCTCCTTTTTATCTCCTCTCGCTTTCATCTTTTCTCCTTTTTCCCGGTTTTCCTTTCTTGTTCTACTTACACTGCAGTGTCCATATAATCTGTAATATGCATGAATTATAATAAAGCTATTTATATGCATAAAGCAAGCGGAACACTATGGCGATACGTACTGCTCCACTTGTGAAAGTAAAATCTGTTGAGCTCTTTTTGGCATCAAGGCAATTAGTCATATTGCCAGAGCTGTTAGAGCAGACAAAACATTTGCAGTTTAGACAATGTTGATTTAGGAGCTGCAATAAAATTGGCCTAAGTAACGTTAATGTAAATATACATTTTTTTCTTCCACACTCAGACCAAAAAAAAGCACAACCAGGCAATGAAACCAGTGACGCTCGGAAACCGTCTGGACCTGCACAATCTCAGCGCACAAAACCTGGTTTGTAAACGCTGACAAAGGGACAATAGACCCGTTTGATAAACTCTATGCTTTAAATGTCTAACCTTAAATTCAAACTGCTCTTCTGGTTTCTGTCTGCTTTCATCCAGAGGCCAGCTCTACTTCTCTGAATGATAGCAGCGCCGTAAATGTCACACAGACACCAATTACACCGTCAGTAGGTAATAAATCTGTTCTTTTGAGCAAAGCCAGAGCTGACCATTATGTTCTATACAGTCCCACACCTGTTAAAAAACTATTTGTTTTGTGACTTTAAAGTAAATGAGACCATCGAAAATATTTTTAGGACTTTTTATAAGTAAAAATAAGGTATTTATTCTGTGAACTTCATAAAAAAAACTATGAAAACTGTGTGAAACTCCTTAAACTAATACACTGAGGAGTAGATCTGCAGATCCATTCTGAATGTGTTCATATTTTCCTACTAAACTGTCAGACTGAGTAGATTTCTAATCCTCGGCTTCCACTCCAAAAACATCCTATCAGTTCTGCTTTTCGGCTTAATTATTCCAAAACTTACCTTTTCCTCTCTACTACTGCGCTGCGATGTGCCGCCAAATAGAATCCAACTTCCTATTTAGTTCAGAGCAGACACCTTAAAGATTTGTCAGACAAAAGTCTGTGTTTAATGAGAGGAAAAGTAACCCCATAGTATGCTTCTGCTACCACCGTGTTTCACTGTGAGATTCAGTTGTTTTAGGGCTGCTTGTTCCTTTGAAATTGTGGTCCAAAAAAGAGAACTCCTATCATGGGGAAAGTTTTCTATTTTAATGTTTCATTTATTGTTTTTGCTCCAGTCTGTCCTGTTTACTATAAACGCGATGAGCGACTCCAGACTGACTCTTTTCCCGTGAGATTAACGGATTTTATTTTGTATTTTCCTCCAAAGCGGATGTGTTTTACTTTGTAACCGCGTCTCTCTTCCCGTCAGACCCATGAAATTGCTGCATAGTCCGACTAAAATAGATCTGGCCTCTTATCTCAGTCGGAACCAAGCTGCCCCCTGCAGGAAATCAACCTCATTGACTTTCAGTGAACGCTAAACACCACAACCTCTATGACATGATTTTCTGCCGGATCGAACGCAAAATCAGATTTGGTGTGTTTCTGACCTTTAGTTAAATTGTGGGCCCACTTTTGCAAATTTGTGATAGCAGCTTTAGAAATTCTCTCCTTTTTAGTTAAAATGCACAGATTAGGGATGTAACAGTTAATCGGATTAATGATTATTAATCCATTAGCAAAATAATTGTTAGTTGCAGTTATAGTACAGATACATGTTCTTATTTGTTGAAAATATTTTGAAATGACTCCTTATGGTATAATTCTTCTTATATCATAAACTCCAGGTATTACAATTCGGGTATGTACATTATTGAGAGCTGCTGTATATTTTTACTTTTTATTACTATGTCTCATTTCATCCCACAGTGTTTCATAGCGTTGACTCTGGTGGAAAGAATGAAGCCCCCCCCAGCAGCTCAAATGTCACTAATAGTACGGCAGCAGATGGTAAGGAGGTCTGATTGTACTCAGAAATGTTTACGTCCTGCAAGCTCTGATTTATCCCTGCAGTATTTGTGCTGAGCATCAAAACCTCCTGATATGGAAAGATTTATTACAGTTCAATTCCGTTTAGATTCAGTTTATTTCTATAGTTCCAATTCACATCATGTCATCTCTAGGGGTGTAAATAATAATCGTTTTGTATCGATGCATCGATCCAAAAGCCGACGATCCGATGCATCGACACGTCCGCAAGATAATCGATTCATGTTTTTTTTTCCTCCGGTCTATTTTTATCCATTTGCTCCTGGGCGTAATTCTCCCTCCCGTGCTGCGGTGGCGCTAAACCTATTTTGCCCTCCTACCGCGCTTCCTGGTTATACTCTTACAGCAGTTTGTTGCAGCAAGCTTCACACAGAAATTTTTTAATTATGCTAAGTATTGAAGCGTGGTCTGTGCTACACACTGTGGGTCTAGATACGGCCGAGGCGGGTGAGGAAGTGGGGACGAGTTTAGTCCGACGACGAAGGGACATGAGGGCAAAAAGAGCGGAGATTCAGCTGGAAAAAGGGTCCCAGCGTTCTCGCGCACCTCGCTCTTCTAGCGGGTCAAACTTCACGAGTTGTTTTCCGCAATTTCGGTCATAAAAACAAAACAAACCGGCCTCCTGTCTGCGGTCAGCTACAATCTGGGAGAGGAGCAGCAGGGCGTCTCTCAAGGGGGCGGTGACGTCAACACTCTGAAGCCTTCTTCTTCTTCTTTTTTTTAATGGCGGTTGGCAAAGAACTTATAGTTGCATTACCGCCACCTTCTAGAATGGAGTATGGACCAGACAAACTATTATATTCTCCCTAAAATACCCGTTCTTCTTAGAAAATTAAAAATACTACCAAAAACTACATCCCCAGATGACCTTTGAAACAATTCCCTTATATGTAGTTTATTTTTATTCCTGTCTAACTCTCTAAGCAACATCTCTCTTTCCTGAGTATATTTATTACATTCTAAAAAAATATGTTGGACAGTTTCTCTGGAGCCGAGGTATTGCATTGAACTCATTACACTGATATTGTGCAGTATTTTTTGATGCAACTTTTCTACTTCTGTTATTTGATGTTGTTTCTAAAGAAAATGCATAATGATATTACAGCTTTCATTGATTTATTTCAAACTTGAAACTTTGTTTAGCCTGTAAGGTGTAAAAAAAATAATAATAAAAAAAAAAAAAATAACCGATTAATCGATTAATCGAATCGAATCGAATCGTGGTGTATTCTTGAGTATCGAAAATAATCGAATCGTTGGGTCAGGAAATCGATACTGAATCGAATCGCCATAATGGATGTGATTTACACCCCTAGTCATCTCAGGTCACTTTCCAGTTCACCAGATCATCCACTCAGATTGATTCAAAGTTTTCTATCTAAGGAAAACCAGCTGATTGCATCGACTCATTGACTCTTCAGCAATCCCTCACACTAAGCATGCTTGTAGCGACAGTGGAGAGGAAAAACTCCCTTTGAACAGGAAGAAACCTCCAGCAGAACCAGGCTCAGTGTGAGCGGCCATCTGCTGAGGCCCACTGGGGTTCAAGGAGACAGAAGCAGACATAGAAAAAGAAGCATAGATACAAAAGGCAACTGTCAACCAGCTCCACAGGCGGCCCCGTCCAGGAAACACACAGCCAGGCAGACGAGCTCCGAGCCAGCTCCCATGTCAGAGGATGAAGAGAGCACATCCAGTTAGTCACAGTCAGAGAAACAGGACTACACTGAAAAACAGGCCAATCTCCAACATCTAGAAACAAAGGTGTTGATGGCAGCAGCACAGCTGATATTTCTCTCCAGGATGGAGTCACAGCCAAACAGGAACAGACCAGATGAAGCTACTATGAGAAAAAGCAGAGAGAGCAGAACGTTAGAGATTGAACTAACAGATTCTGCAGAGTGGGAGAACAGAGAGAGAATGAAGCAGAATGATGAAAAAGGGGTCCCTATGTCCTCCAGCAGTCTAAGCCTATAGCAGCAGAACTATAGAGATAGTTCAGGATAACCTGAGCCACTCTAACTAGAAGCTTTATCAAAAAGGAAAGTTTTAAGCCTAGCCTTAAAGTAGACAGGGTGTCTGCCTCACGGACTAAAACTGGTAGTTGGTTCCACAGGAGAGGAGCCTGAGAACTAAAAGATCTGCCTCCCATTCTACTTTTAGAAATTCTAGGAACCACTAGTAAACCTGCAGATTGAGAGCGAAGTGCTCTGTTAGGAACATAAGGAACAATCAGATCTCTGATATCAGATGGAGCTTGGCCATTTAAGGCTTTATATGTGAGAAGGAGGATTTTAAACTCTATTCTGGATTTAACAGGAAGCCAATGAAGAGAAGCCAGGATAGGAGAGATATGATCTCTCTTTTTAATTTTCATCAGAACTCTGGCTGCAGCATTTTGGATCAGCTGAAGGCTTTTTTCTTTTCAAAAGAATTAAATCTGCCGTGGACCTTATTCATTTAGACCTAGAAATAACGTGTTACCTCCATCTGTTTTATGTCAAGTGGTTTTATTTCCCACAGAACTAGTATCACCCTGGATGGAAACCACCGTAGAAATCCTTTTGACAACAGGTAAATCTGAAGACTTAGGTATTTATAATAATTTTCTGCTATACATTAAAAATGGCTAAAAAGTCCTGCCATGAATTTGGTTTTGTTTCATTTTGCTCTCTATTTCTAGTGTCACCAACGCTGAGAGACAAAACCGATGACAGAGATGCCTTGAATTCTACCGACTTTGAGAAACTTCATCCAAGCTTTGAAAATGGCATGCCTTTATTTGAGTATTTCTAAAGACTTTTTATTTCGTTGTGGTGACTGGTTTGTGTAAAAATCCATTTTCAGATATTCATTAATGTCTCTCTGCAGGAACATCCCGTCTGACTGAGAACAGCACAAACCTGCAGGAACATTTTTATAACAAACTCCAACCTGGTAATCCAACAATAGAGATCTATTGTAGAAGGAATACTAATAGATCTGTATACAAACTGTGAAAATTAAGAAAATAATGTTTAATGCGCTTTTTTCAACAGAATCACAGCTGTTTTATAAAAATGAAACCCATCCTCCATCTGAAGACTGGGACACTGGAAATGTTACGCAGGGCGTTGATATAATGGCCGGTAAGACTTCCCAAATTTTAACAATTTTACTGCTATAGCCAGGGCCGGATTTAGGAAATGTGGGGCCCTAGGCAAAGACAAGCAGGGGGCCCTCTGAATGGAGAAGACAACACATAAAACAGCCCCATTCTACAGATAGAGAAATGCAGAGATGGCAAAAGTACTCACTTTCCGTACTTGAGTAAAAGTACAGATACTTGTGTTAAAAAATACTCTGGTAAAAGTGGAAGTACTGATTAAACTTCTTTACTCTAGTAAAAGTAACAAAGTACAGGCCTGTAAATTTACTTAAAGTATAAAAGTAAAAGTAGAAACCACTTTTTTCATGCCGTTGCCTACATTTTAAATGGATGTCTGCCAATAGGACTAGATCTCCGTTGTGTTCATTTTCAATCATCTCGTCGTCCATGCTACTATGCTAACGCCACCGCCACCAAGCTGCAATGATTTGCCGCCAATGAATACCGCCGAATCTGTCGATTCATCTTGTAGTGGTGCGTCAAATGCAACGTAGATTCCCATCCAATTAGATTGAATTTGGTATTGATGACGTGAAAAATAATAACGGTAACTCCATTGAAATGATTCAAAGCTAAAGTAACGAGCCAATTTTTTAAAATGTAAGGAGTAGAAGTAAAAAGTCGCCATAAAAATAAGTAGTAAAGTAAAAATATCAGAAAAATCTACTTGAGTACAGTAACAAAGTATTTGTACTTCGTTACTTCCCATCTCTGGAGAAATGTTAATAGAATAGACATCTATTATCTGTTCTAGGTTGTGTCCCTCTCTTCTTGTCCCTTTTCTTCTTGTTTTCCTCTCTATGTTTTGTACTCAGCTGACTTTTCATGCTGTCTCTAAAGGAATGAAAGATTTTTTCCAAGCACTAAGCTCACTTAGCTGATTGCTCCTTCCTGTGTTTCCAAAAAGGCCAAAGTAAATAACCCAGTCCTTCTTTTCACTGTAGACAAGCCATGATCTGCTTATCTGTTCTCCATTTTTCATTTGGATGAAATAATAGCTGCATGAATCATGACAGCAGACAAGATAGAGGAGAGCAGGAGGCGGGGTTACCAATCTACTCGATCTGGAGAGCAGAGTTCGCTGCTTTTAGATGTTGTCTCCAAAGTCTCCAGTAGCAGAAAAAAGTCTCTAGATTTGGCGCTAGGAGCTTTTTAGAAATCAAAGTGCTAGAGGGGTCTGAAATCCCATCAAAGTTCGTTTATATAGCACTTTAAACAACACTAGGAAGACCAAAGTGCTTCACAGAAAGATAAAAACATTGCAAAAAAAAAAACTAAAATCATAAGCATCTTTGCAAAATGCTGAATGTGCAATATTTCTACACCTGTATATAAGCCATCTGGATTGTACATATTTTTATGCCTTATTTTTTTTATTTCTTATTTTTATTTTGTTTTTCATTGTGTGCAATACATGTACACTGGCACCTTAATCCTATTTATCTTGATATACTGTATATATATTGCTTATTCTTAATGCACCTTTTTCCTCCGTTTGCACCTTCTGTAACTTCTATGCCAATATGTGACGAGTGAATTTCTCCGCTGTGAGATCAATAAAGCTCATCTAATCTAATCTAATCTAATCTAATCTAATAAAACAATGTGTCCTAAGTATTAGAAGCCGATTTAAAAAATTATTCATTAATCTGGATTTAAAAAGATGCAGATCAATTCAATTCAGTTTATTTATATAGCACCAAATTCACAACACATGTCATCTCAAGGCACTTAACATTTCAACCAGATCATACAGTCAGATTTATTCAAATCAGTGAGAAACTGCAGAACGAGAGGCAGGTGTTCCACAGTTTTCAGGGGTGTCAAAGTCAAATGGACGGAGGGCCAAATAAAAAATTTAGCTACAAACCGAGGGCCGGACTGATCAAATGTTCATTAAAATGTTTTTAAATGACGCATATAGTCTAGTGAACCTAATTGAACCTACTGAAAACCTAACAAATATATTCCAACATGATCAGATAAATAAAGCAATATTTTCGTATGGCTCTGTCAGTAATCTTTAATTTTCAACAGACACAAAAGACAAATTTCCTTTGTATAAAAATCCCCATAACATGAACATTAAATGAAAGAAACCTGTATTATTCAAGGCACCATCAGTAGCCTATATTTTCTATTTTAGCAAAAGTGGGCTAAATTTACTTCAAAGAAAAAAATAATAGCAATTTTCTATCATCCACTCAACTGAAATATTTTTAAAATATAATTGGATTGAAATACAATAAAATAAAGTGCAAAAATCTATTAATCAAAAACAACACTTTCCTCAAGGAGAAGTAGCATGCAGTGAAAACAAATATTAAACTTTAACTTTTAAACTTGAACTGAGTAAAAACTCTAAATATGTGATTGCACAGTAATGTTCACTTGTTTGAGGTTGAGGGTGATACTTGGTGGTGTCCCATCTTTTCCACAAGTTCATCAATGTTCGGGGCAAGGCTCTGAGCTGAGCATTTTTGATGGGTATCTGAAAGTTAATTTTACAGTTATGCTGACGATTGCTGTGCTAACAAACACTGAAATGAAGCAGCCTACTGCTCGGTGCGTCACCGTTGCATTGTTGGAAATGTAGTATTGGTGCGTGTAAAAGATCTGCGGGCTGCCAGCTTGCTGCGGTCTGCGGGCCGGTTCTAATAATAAATCAAGATCATCCTAGGGGCCCTAAAAAACCTTGACTCTGACATATGTGGTTTAGATGCTGTAATCACAAAGGTACGATCGCCCCACTGTTTATACCGGGACCTAAGAACCATTTGAACATTTGGTCTGAAAAGTCGCTTAAAGTTGGCATTTTAGGGAAACGATTCTTATCGAAAACATAATTAATGTGCACAAATAAGGAATAGTTGTATTAACCATAGACGTAAACAGAGTTTTATGGGGCCCAAAGCTCCTGGGGGCAACTGCCTAGTTTTGCCTAATGGTAAATCCCCCCCCTGGCTATAGCAGCAGCTTCAGTTCAGTGTTCAACATTTCTTTCTACGATAGATGAAGTCGGTGCAAACATGAACACCTCTAATGGCAGCAGAGTCATCACTGGAACAGGCTTCGAAGGAGGAACAGACATCATGGCGGAAAAAAAAGGTTTTGTGTTACAGTTCTGCTCTAAAGAATAATTTGCAAAAACAATATTTGTTTTGTAATGTTTTATCCATGAAATTAAAATATGATAAAATAGGGGACAGGACCAGAAACTAGGGATGCACGATATTGGGATTTTGGCCGATATCCAATATTTTAAAACTCATGTAGCCGATAACCGATATCGATACCGATGTTAAAGCTGGACAAAAATTAGTAGTCATTGAAAATAGCAGTTTTGTTATCCATTTCTGACACTTTGAAAAATAATATACTCAAATATATTTTCATATGCTGATATCAAATCGATTTTTAAAAACGCGGTATCGATCTATTTTACTTTCAAAATCTGGTGAAACTTCATCGTTCTGTTACAAACTCTCGGGATATTTTGCAAATTCTTGTGAGATTTTGTTAGTAAAATAGGTCGATACCGCGTCAATATATCAACATATAAAAATATGGCAACATTTGGTGAATTTTCGGGGGATTTCGTAGCATAACGATGACATATAGCAATATTTCATTAGTAAAAGAGATTGATATGGTGTTTTTAAATGGCAATATATCAGCATATGAAGATATGGGGATATTTTAATGGATCAATATTTTTTCCCTCGTCTTTAGAAGTTTTTAAGTCTTTGTTTAACGTGTTTCAATCATTGACTAATGAGGTTAATATGATCTTTAAATGGTATAAACTGCGGATAGAGTTTGTTGTTAGAAATAAGCTTTATCATTTGTTCTATAAACTGAATCCCTTCTTCATTTCATTTCTTCCAGAATCACCAACACTACCTTCAGATAATATCACTACAGACACATTTCAAACAGATCCTGGTAATTTCTAACTTTTTTTCTCTTGATCGATTAATGACATTTTTGATCTAAAAATGAGGTTGAATTATGTTGCATTTATTTACATTAAAAATCTCTCTAGAACCAGAACCAGACTTGTTTTATGAAGGAGACCACGTTGGGACTTTGAATGACTCAGAGGCTGTAAACGTCAAAGAGGGGTGGATAAACCCATCAGGAGGTCAGTAAACTTTCAAACTTCTACTTTTTGTGCTGAGATTTGATACCTAACAGGATGTTTTTATATTATCGGTGCGCTTGGGACAAAACAAAACGGTGATGCATTCAATGACAGCAGATTTAACTCTGAAACAAGCTTTAAGACCGGTAAAATATTTGTGATACAAGGTGCATAATGGTATATGGAAACTCCTACTAAATTTAACTGTGGTTTAGACAAACACAGATATCTAGATGATGTACACAGGGAAAAATCAACATCTAGATAAGTAATTTTTTCTTAAAATAATTTCATTTGTTCTTGGAGTAAGGAGGTAAAGCGACATTTTGCCAATGGACTAACATAATTTACATTTAAAATAAGAAAACACAATTCCATTGTCTTATTTCAAGTGCATTTTATCTAAATATCTTATTTTAAGAGTAAAAACACTCATTCCATTGGCAAATCGTCTCTCATTAAGGGTAAATACACTTAATTTGAAATTTTTTTATATATATTTTTAGATTGTTTTTCCAGTGTATGAATATGAAATTAATACTTAAAAAGACTCCTTTACCACGGATGACTGCATCAGTTTATCGTAGCATGGAGGCGACCAGCCTGTGACTCTGCTGAGGTGTAAACAGTCTCCATGTCGCTTTATTGGTGGTTTTTATCTCACTTGTTAGCTTTGTATTCGGTGCTATTTCTAAAGTTAAGCAGTAAAATTTTAGGAGCAATATTTCTGGTTATTTAGCGTTATTTTTTCCAAGTCATTCTTTCACTGTGTCATTCATTAAATTATACAAATCTTACTTTTTTAGATAAATATTTAGTTTGCAAATTAAATATTTGGTTTGTTAAATAAATATTTAGCTCCAAACTATATTTTAATTCATTTTCTGTGATAATGCACTCTAAAATAAACTCTGTTTTTATGTTGTTGTTTTTTGTTACAGAACTACCAATGAGAGATTCAGCTAATCTCACTAGAGATGATTTTAAAGCTTCTGATTATCAGAATAACCTAAATACAACATTAACTTTGAATCATTCAGAGGCTGTAGATGTTACAGAGGGATGGATAAACCCAGTAATAGGTGAGAAAACTCTGAAGAATAAAAAAAAAAAAAAAATATATATATATATATATTTTTTTTTAAATATATATATTTTAAAATTCATATTTTAAAATATATAACATTTTTGTATTGCTATTATTTTAATGATATTAATAATAGTTTGTAGAGGTCATCAAAGGTCAGTGAACTTCTGTTCCTGCTGAAACTATGAATTTCATATAAATTTTAATTTACTAACCGATGAATATGAATAATTTAATTTTAAACTGGAAAAAAATGAAACTTTTTGCTGCACAAACGTAGCACGGTTGATTGACACCTAATTGATTTATTTTGTGCAAATGTGAGCAGGGCCACAGGAGCGGTTGACCTCTGATGACCCCTGGAGAACATTTCTCTTTATATCTGTCAGATTTTTCTGCATGTCGTCAAATATTATCCGTCTTTTCTTACAGAACAACCAACAGAAGATTCAGCAATTATTGACAGAGATGCTTTCAATGTTTCTCAGTCTTATGATTATCCAGGGGAAAAAATGAAACCTGGTAAAATACCAAGACTCAGAAATATTTTTATCTGTGGTTTAGTCCAGTTTTAGAGGAAATGTTTTTGGCAAACTTCTTTCTTTTGATTATGTTTTTAGATCCAGAGCAAAGTGAGAAATTTGAAGAAAAGGTGACTGGAAATGATTCAAACGCTCTACATGTTACAGACGGACCAACGACATTATCAAAAGGTTTAAATCTTGGTTTAACTTGCATTAAAATCTTAAATTCAATGTTTAACATGTCATTATTTTATAGGTGCAGATGATGCCTTCAATGACAGTATTATTGCTGAAACAGGCTTCAAAAATGGTAAAAACATTTTGTTATGATCTTCATTAGTCCTATTTTGTCATTAGTAGATCTTAGAGCTAATCACATAAATCATTTAGAAAAATATTTGTTTCTAATAATCCAGTTCTTTCTAAATAATTCAGTTCAGTTTGATCTAATAAAGGAATTATTAATTCTACACTGCAAAAATGATCTAGAAATAAGTACAAAAATTCTTAAATTAAGGGATTTTACTCTTAATTTGAGCAGGTAAATAGGATCGTTTGCCAATGAAATTAGTATTTTTACTCTTAGAACAAGATAATTGGATAATGTGCACTTGAAATAAGACAATGCAGTTATTTTTCTTTTTTTAAATGTAAATTTTCTTGTTCCATTGACAAAGTGTCTCACTTACCTCCTCAATTCAAGAAAAAAAATTACTTATTTTAAGAAAAAATTACTTACCGTATTTTCACGACCATAAGGCGCACCGTACTAAAAGGCGCAGTCTCAGTTATGTGTCCCATTTCTGTATTTAACACACACATAAGGCGCACCGGACTATAGGGCGCGTTTTTTATATACAGGTACATGTCCTCTACTACCTTTAAATACCTCTACTGCGTATTTTAAAAATACAGCGGGCCCAAAACTGAGTATGACTGAGCTTTATTCATGTATTTATTACAAATTAATCAAACCTGCGTGCTGGCCATGAGACAGACACTTCGCAGATGACACAGCGCTGTGATTACTCCTAAATTAACTTAAAATCCTGAAACCTGCCGACGGAATATGTTCGCTTTTATTGCCGGTATCCTGGTGCCTGCACTGTAAATTATTTAGATGAAAAACACCTGCCAGCCGCCGTGTGAGGCTGCTGTTGAAGGGATTTTTACTGTCGGTGCACCGCTGGTATGTGGGGGTCTGAGCGCCTCCGACAGAAATAGATCATCTGGATGAACTGACTGCAATTAAGTTTTCAGGTGGCCTTTCTCACTTAAAAACATATTAAAACTACTTTATTCCCCCTGATCACAGCAAATATAGCTGCAAGATTTAGATTATTTAGATGAAAAAACACCTGCCAGCCACCGCGGTGAAGAGGAGGAGACCCGCCCAGAGGCTGCTGTTGAATTAAGTTTTCAGGTAGAAAAATAGAGCGGGAGCAAAACTGAGTATGTTTGTGCTTTATTCATGTATTTATTACAAAGTATAAATCAAACCCATCAAAGTCATCATCCTCTGTTTCTGAATTAAACAGCTGCGCTAAATCAGACATGCCAATTTCCCCTTCTTCGCTGTCAGAGTCACTTTCCGTGCAGCGCGGCTCCTCAGAAATAATGCCGGCTTTTGCGAAAGCTTGAACAATAGAGCCAGCAGACACGTTAGCCCAAGCATCTACAATCCATCCGCAAACGGTGGCGTAACTTGCCCGGCGCTGCCTTCAACTTATCCTGAAACTGTGCCCTCCGTCTGTCATCCATCGCTCCCACGCCGCTCGCAGCCTTACTTTGAACGGCCGCTTCACACCGATGTCAAGCTGTTGAAGTTCCTTTGTCAGACCCCCGGGATAACGGCGAGCACAGCGTTCATTTGATTCATCTTTTTTTTTCACATCGGCTGTGAGATGGGCACGCAGCGATGGTGATGCGTGGAAAAAACCACCTGGTCTCCTCACATACACCTGCCTTTCATCATCTCCCCAGCCCGTTTCATTTGCGTTAATATCATATGTCATCAGAGCGCTGTGTCTGTCTCGCTGTCAGCTCCCAGATCAGCTTCTCTGATTGGTTGATGCGGCGCGTCCAGCAGCAAAACTTCAATTTTTCCATCTCGAGCAGCAGCAGCGCGTTGGCGGCGCGCTCCCGACGCGCTGCACCTGCAGCTCAAAACGCGCTGCGGGACCTTTTGCTGCACCTATACGCGCGTCAACCATTGACTTTGCATGTAAACTCGCTGCTTCTGCTGCACCTGCTGGGTCCGGTTCACACCGATGTCCAGCGGTTGAACAGCGAGCACAGCGTTAATTTGTTTCCCCATGTTTTTCACATCAGCTGTGAGATGGGCACGCATGGAGTTACATATTAACAGCGATGGTGATGAGTGGAAAAAAACACCTGGTCTCCTTACATTCAGCCACTCTTTCATCATCTCCTCAATGAGGTGGTCTCAAAAGTCGCAGTTACAACACACATAGGGCGCACCGCACCATAGGGCGCACCGCACATTTTGAGGGGAAAAAAAAGACGTTTAAGTGCGCCTTATAGTCGTGAAAATACGGTATTTAGATTTACATTTTTTGCAGTGTATCTACTCTGGTTAAATCACATCTTTCTTTCACAGAAACACCAGCAGGGCATTCAGCTAATGACACCAGAGCCGCTCTAAATATTTCTGAGTTTTACAATCCTTCAAATAAAAAAATAGAATCAGGAAAGGAAATAAAAACAAAAAACAAAAAAGCAAACAATACTGATAGATAAATACGGAAGGGGATTAGGGCCAGTGAAAAAACAAAGAAAAAAGTTAACTGATTTTTAAATTTTATTTCAGTTTAGTATGAGAAAAAAGTCAGAATTCTGACTTTAATCTCAGAATTCTGACTTTAATCTCAGAATTCTGACTTTAATCTCAGAATTCTGACATTTTCTACTGTCAGAATTCGGTCAGAATTCTGGGAAAAAAGTCAGAATTCTGAGAAAAAAGTCAGAATTCTGAGATTAAAGTCAGAATTCTGACTTTTTTCCCATACTAACCTGAAATAAAATTTAAAAATCAGTTAACTTTTTTTTTTTCTTCCAGTGGCCCTAATCCTCTTCCGTAGATAAAGCTTTTCCCTATAAAGGAAAAAAAATCAGAAAGATACCTCTGGCTGCCTAATGACTTCAATATGGGGCGCCGTTTGTAAAGTTAAGCAGTCAAAAATTAGGAGAAATATTTATGGTTATTTAGCGTGTTTTAAGCGAAAAATAAGGAGGTTACTTTTTTATTTTTTATAAATTAATGAATGAACTAGAAAAAAAAATGACTTGAAAAAAAAAAACCTCCTTATTTTTCTCTTAAAAGCCGCGAAATAACCATAAATATTGCTCCTAATATTTGACTGCTTCATTTTACAAACGGCTTCCCGTAGCTGTGGGTCTGAATTCAGCTCTATTTCCATCTTTCTGAAGTTCTACCAAACTTTTGCTTCACAGCCCCTAAAGGCTGCAGTTCTCATCTTTCCATGTGCATCTTTTACACAATCATAATTTCCTACGTCTCGATTTTCCTTTGGGACAACCAGCATCTTATGTTTTTCTATCCCTAAATAATTCTTCTTTCTGAGGGTGTGAATTACTGTCAGCTTGACAACTTTGAAGTCTACAGTCCTTCTAATGTTTGCGTGGACAATAATGAGGTCATAACATCATATTCCCTTATTGACAATGTTTTTTTTTTGTTAATATTGACTTTTTTTTTACATAAACTGAGTTTTGGGGTTTTATTAACTGTAATTTACATTCATCAGATTAATAGAAGAAGACACTTGAAATGAATAGAAGTTGAACATCTTGAGCTGAATTAATTAAATATATTTTTTCTGTATTATCATAAAACATTTCTGTTATATTTTTAATTCATTTGCTGTGATTCACCCGGATAATGCACTCTGAACTAAACTCTGTTTTTATGTTGTTGTTTTTTGTTACAGAACTACCAATGAGAGATTCAGCTAATCTCACTAGAGATGATTTTAAAGCTTCTGATTATCAGAATAACCTAAATACAACATTAACTTTGAATAATTCAGAGGCTATAGATGTTACAGAGGGATGGATAAACCCAGTAATAGGTGAGCAAACTCTGAAGAATCAACTTTTGGTGTGACTGAATTATTTTTAAAGAGGCTAAAATCTGATGTCTAATGGCAGCAAAGCGGATGCTAAAAGTACTGATGTAAAATATATTTAAAATATATATATTTTTAAATTCAAATTTTAAAATATATAACATCTTTGTATTGCTATTATTTAAATGATATTGATAATAGTTTGTAGAGGTCATCAAAGGTCAGTGAACATCTGTTCCTGCTGAAACTGTGAATGTCATATAAATTATAATTTACTAACCGATGAATATGAATAATTTAATTTTAAACTGGAAAAAAATGAAACTTTTTGCTGCACAAACGTAGCACGGTTGATTGACACCTAATTGATTTATTTTGTGCAAATGTGAGCAGGGCCACAGGAGCGGTTGACCTCTGATGACCCCTGGAGAACATTTCTCTTTATATCTGTCAGATTTTTCTGCATGTCGTCAAATATTATCCGTCTTTTCTTACAGAACAACCAACAGAAGATTCAGCAATTATTGACAGAGATGCTTTCAATGTTTCTCAGTCTTATGATTATCCAGGGGAAAAAATGAAACCTGGTAAAATACCAAGACTCAGAAATATTTTTATCTGTGGTTTAGTCCAGTTTTAGAGGAAATGTTTTTGGCAAACTTCTTTCTTTTGATTATGTTTTTAGATCCAGAGCAAAGTGAGAAATTTGAAGAAAAGGTGACTGGAAATGATTCAAACGCTCTACATGTTACAGACGGACCAACGACATTATCAAAAGGTTTAAATCTTGGTTTAACTTGCATTAAAATCTTAAAATCATTGTCTAACATGTCATTATTTTATAGGTGCAGATGATGCCTTCAATGACAGTATTATTGCTGAAACAGGCTTCAAAAATGGTAAAAACATTTTGTTATGATCTTCATTAGTCCTATTTTGTATTAGGTGATCTTAGAGCTAATCACATAAATCATTTAGAAAATATTTGTTTTTAATAATCCAATTCTTTCTAAATAATTCAGTTCAGTTTGATCTAATAAAGGGAATTATTCATTCTATCTACTCTGGTTAAATCACTTCTTTCTTTCACAGAAACACCAGCAGGGCATTCAGCTAATGACACCAGAGCCGCTCTAAATATTTATGAGTTTTACAATCCTTCAAATAAAAAAATAGAATCAGGTAAGGAAACAAAAAAATAAATAAATAAACAAACAATTCTGATAGATAAAGCTTTTCCTTATAAATGATAAATAATATAAAAAATACATCTGGCTGCGAAATGACTTCAATATGGGGCGCCGTTTGTAAAGTTAAGCAGTCAGAAATTAGTAGAAATATTTATGGTTATTTAGCGTTTTAAGAGAAAAATAAGGAGGTTATTTTTTTCCAAGTAATTTTTTCACTGTCATTCATTCATACAAATCTTACTTTTTAAAATAAATATTTAGTTCTGAGCTAAATATTTAATTTGCTAACTAAATATTTAGTTGGACCTAAAAATCTATTTAATGAACTAAATATTTATTTAACAAACTAAATGATTAGTTTGGAGCTAAATATTTATCTAACAAAATAAATATTCATTCAATTCAAAAAATTCAATAATTTGCAAACTAAATATTTAGTTGGACCTATCTATCTAATATCTATTTAATGAACTAAATATTTATCTACCAAACAAAATATTTAGTCTGGAGCTAAATATTTATTTTAAAAAATCTAAATATTTAATTTTTAAACTAAATATTTAGCTTAGACTTAGAAAAAAATAACCCCCTTATTTTTCTCTTAAAAAACGCTAAATAACACTAAATATTGCTGCCGTTTTTTGACTGCTTAATTTTTCAAACGGCGCCCCGTACTTCAAAATGTATAATTTTTTTATGAAGATGGAAAGACTGCGGTGCTGAACGACTTGGATGCTGAAAACACAGCAACTCTGCCAATGAAACCATATCCAGGTAAAGGCTTTTATTCTGAAAAGAACGCGGCACCCTTTGTTTTCAGTATTATGAATAAAAGGGATTTATCTGCATTTTTTATTTCACTACAGTGCCAACTGAAAACAGCCGAAGCAGCAATAACTTTATTAATACAATCATGGAGAAAACCCCTGCAGAAAGTGGTAAAAGCATCGTTTTAAATATGAGATGCACTATTGAACCTTATCTACAGCAATATGTTGAGTTTTTAACTTTGATTTCTTTAGATTCAAGAGTTCCTGCTGTTAACTTCAAGGAAGCTTTGAATTTGAATGACTCTAAGAATCATCCACAGAGAAACAAGGAACCAGGTAACATTAAGATCGTTCAAAGCTGAGTTATACTGCAGCAATACTGCAATGTATGACTTTAAAAAAGAAACAACCTTTAATTTTTTTAAAATGTATTAATTTAGGGGAAAATTACTCTTAAAAACTCTAAAAAAAAATAAGGATGAAGAGAGCACATCCAGTTAGTCACAGTCAGAGAAACAGGACTACACTGGAAAACAGGCCGATCTCCAACATCTAGAAACAAAGGTGTTGATGGCAGCAGCACAGCTGATATTTCTCTCCAGGATGGAGTCACAGCCAAACAGGAACAGACCAGATGAAGCTACTATGAGAAAAAGCAGAGAGAGCAGAACGTTAGAGATTGAACTAACAGATTCTGCAGAGTGGGAGAATAGAGATAGAATGAAGCAGAATGATGAAAAAGGGGTCTCTATGTCCTCCAGTAGTCTAAGCCTATAGCAGCATATATGCATGCAGCAATATTAAAAAAGTTTGAAACACCCTTAAAAGAGGTGTTGAAGGATTTTTATGAGATATTTAAAAATGGGACATCATGGGGTAACCAAGTTAAAAATATCTACATGAGAAATGAAAAAAATGTGGGTTTTATGCTTTCTCATGGCATAAAACTAAGAGAAAGAATTTCATCCCCATTGTTAAGTAGGATGGAGGAGTTGTGGTGCTGTGGGCCTGTATCTCTTCCAAAACCCTGAAAAACTTTTTACAGTGAATGACAACCAACATGAACTCCTTCAGATTCAGTGTCTTTGTTTCCAAAGGAGCAAAGTAACAGCAGCGCATAGAAAGCATTTACTTGTTTTATTTTCCAGCTTCAGCTTCTTTTGACAACAGTCAGAGGAGGAAGGCTTCAAACAGCAGTGGACATCTTGTAGACCAACCAATGAAACGTGGTGAGAGTCTGTCCTCTACTGGCATTAAGATTTAATGTTCTGTTTTATTGGCTGTTTTGCAAAATGCTTTGGAAGAGCTCCTTTATTTATTTTTTTTAAGAAACAGCTTTAATGATGGTAATTAAACCTGCCTTAAAGTCGTAGTCACATTTTTAATTTAATGTTGAATAGCTAAAAGAAGACTTTAAAGGAGTGGGAATGTTCTGTTGGATGAGCATACCCGGTCAGACAGAATATCCATAGTCAATACACGTCGATCCCTTTAGTTTTGCACGAAAAATAAACTTTAACCCTTTAAAGCCATGTGTATCATATTTGATGCATGAGTTTTTGAGACCTCTATAACATCAGTGTGAAGGTTTTGCTCTTGAAACTCTGACTTACACACTCAGACACATGCAGTGAACATAAAAAAAAATTATAAAATATTACACAGAAATACCTGTATAAAAATCAACCCAAATAAATGATTGAATGAGAATCATATATATATATATATATATATATATATATATATATATATATATTATTTTTTTTTTTTTTCAAGTTTCTACCTTTTTTTTTCATTTAGAATGCAACATTAAAGCCATCAAGTGTTCAGATAAGTCCACCAAAATGCACAGCACGTACGGAGCAGTGATGTTGGATGCTTCACAGACTGGCGATCGGATCTGGGTGACAACACATTTTTCAGGTTATTTATTCACAGTTTGACATTTTCTTCACTCTAAAGAGGAAATTTCATGAATTAAAAGAGAAACTTCTCCTTCACCAGGTAACATTCTGAAGGAGTTTGAAAACATTTCAGTGCCTCTGGAGAAAAGTCGCACAATCCTAGATCGCAGCACGTTCTTCCAAGGCTGCAGCCACATCGTTTATAACGGCTCATTCTTCTTCCACAAAGGAGGAACAAACAAGCTTTTAAAGTAAGTGTTTTCTTTTTAAACACTTTCCTTTTTTTTGTTGTTACCGTTTAACCCCTTAAGCCTAAGAAGTCTTAGGAGAAAATTCTACTTGAAATGAAATACGTGAATTAAAGCAGTTTTACTTAAATTCTAATTCAGATTTTATAGAAAACTGTAATTTTAACTTAAATTAAGTAAAAAAAAAAAGTAAAATCCCTAAATTCTGAAAGTATATTGACCTATTAAGACATTTGGAATTTTAATGAAACCTAATTGAAGAGAAATTTCACTTTGTGCAGCTATCTTAATTTATTTGAATCGCTCGGCCTGTTTTTTTTATTTCATGCTTTTCTGTGCCCCCATGAAAACACGCTGGCCCCCTCCTGGCCCCCCTGGTACATTTGGTCTAGAACCGCCACTGATCTGTATAACAGGAATCATTTTTAGGTGGAACCACTATTTTAAATGTCACCATGTCTGATTTATAGGTGATTAAACAAAGAAAAAAATGAAAAATATTTAGCCTCGCCAAAATTTTGTTCTAAAATAAACACTGCAAAACACCATGAAGGCCCATTTGAAACTCTGGCTGAACCCTCAGACTTTATAGATCCACATCTTGACTATGAGTCAAGCAAATTTGGACTGAATAAGTTGAAGCATGTTTGTTCAACAAAGGTTTTAGTTGGCAGTGTGCTAGGAGGAAATGGGATTTTGGTACAATGCCGAAAGTGGCCATATTATGCAAGAATGCATATTTTCCACTCATAAATGGGAATCTGGTCAGACAGATATGCTGATTTGCATTATTGGAGACCTTCTGCAAAGCCTTTGCTCCTAAGATTTAAGATTTCCTTAAATGGTTGCACAATTACCTCCGACCCCATCCTTGGAAAGGTCTGAGCCTCTCGTTTGCACTGATGGCGGCCATTGGGGGAGGGGCTAAAATGAATACCTGGTGAATTTTTAAATCTCATTTTATTTGTTTATACAGCTATAAAAAAAAGTGTTTGTGAAAAAATAATTTTGAAACATGTTTTAGAAATTTTAAAGCCCCATTTGAAAGGCATGTGGATGAAACACCATGTGACTGTGTTTTGGCCATTTCTATAAATAGATAAATATCAGCTGGTGTCAGCTGGGCCTCTTACGGGGCCCTCTGGCGTTCTGTCAGACCAGCATACCCCATCAGACCAGCAAACCTATAGTCAATACCCGTTTTTCCCTTTAGTTTAATACTGTCATGAACCGGGGACAGATGGACCCAGTATTCAAGGAGACACAGTCAGTAGGAAAGTTCAAAACGTTTATTAAATCATAAAACAAAAGTGGAGCTGTGGCTCGCGGAAACTGCAGGATGGGGAGCGGGGCACCGCCCAATAACAGACACTCTGCAGGAGAAACACACAATCATCTGACAGAAGATGATTATCTGAGTTGGCCACTTACCTGGTTTAACAGTCCAGTCCAAGAATGTCCCCAAGTGCTGCAGTCCCAGAGGTCATGCTGGAAGCCGATCCTGGTCAGGGATCCAGAACAGACAGGAACAGGTTCCAGATCAGGCAGGAACAGGTGGCAGGATCCAGACTTCCAGGCATCCACAGGCTCCCAGGCGGTGTCAGAGTCTGACAGGGTCCGAAAGCGTGACCAGGTGGTCACGCACAGGAGCAGACAGAGGATAGCCGAGACAGGACGTGGAATCAGAACTTGATGCAGGACCTTTAAACTGGTCTCCTCCCTGGAGCCAGGCTTACTTGGATAAAAACTGAACCTCCCCCCATAATGAGCCAAAAACCTAGAGGACTCAGCGGGGGAGGAACAGTGGACGATCAGGAGACGAGACAGACACAAAAACCCTCTTTCCACTGGCTGCTAGGATCCAGGACATGAAATAAAAATAACAGACAGGCTAACAGAAAGACAAGTAAGGATCTGGCCCTGAATGCTCAGGCTGAACTGAATATAAACCAAAGGAAACAGGTGAGAGGAATAAATTATAATTGAGGCAGGGAGGGAAAAGACAGGTGAAAGGAATGACTAATTAAGGAAGAGCAAACAGGCCAGATCATGACAATTACTTTAGTTTATCTCTTTAGCTTAAAGAATCATAACTATTTTTCTAAATGTTTTACTGTATCTTGCCTGTTTTCCCCTAAAACATCTCATCAAATGTTTTTATTTGATAGGTTTACCTTGAAAACGAGGGAAACAACCACCCTGATCATACCAGACAGCAGATATAACCAACTGAGGTATCTCTTCCACAACTCAAAGACTTATTTCAAGTTCGCAGTGGATGAAAATGGTCTGTGGGTTATCTTCGCCTCGAATACTGACGAAATAATGGTTGCAAAGCTGGACCCAGACACTTTCTCTCTGCAGTCCATAATTAAAACCGCCTACCCCTCAGCTAAGGCTGGAAATGCCTTCATCGTGTGTGGGGTGCTGTACTTTACTGATAGCAAAGACAAACGTGTGACGTATGCCTTTGATTTGATGACACAGAGTGCTGTGGATGCAAGTTTGGATTTAGGCACAGGAAAAGATGTCTTAGCTATGCTGTCTTATTATCCCAATAAAAGACTGCTGTACATGTGGGACAGCAGCAGTGTGAGAACATGCAGAGTTAGATTCAAGAAAACCTAAAAATAATTTTTTTAAGCAGTTTAAAGAGAAATTCTATACTTTTGTATTTATTTTTTGTTTATCCTCCTTTCTGTTGCTATAAATGTGTGATTTTATGAACATTGAGTGTTTTATTGGTGTCAGCTTGGATGACACTGCATGGCCAGATTCACTGGACTGACAGAGACGACCACAGTTTAATTCTCAGCTTGTTGAAATGGTTCTTAAAGGAAAAGTCGCTCAAATTCAGAATCCAAACTTCTGAAAGTTCTTTAAATCTGAAATGATTCCATCCTGTTCAATAAATGATCAGTGTTTTTAATCCAGAGTCATTTTCATGTGAATGTGCTTTACTGGAGGCATCAAAGTTGTCAAAGAACACTACTGCCACCTACTGGTTAGTGACGTCACGGTGCGGTATCGGCTGTTGATCAAGTCCCAGTGCTGTATCTGGTGTTTGTCACAACGCGCTATTATCCAAGTCATCTTGAAAACATTCTTCTTCCAAATGTTGGCTACATATTACGGGTTTTTTCTCTGGCCAGAAGTTCGATGGCAAATCCTCCCTCTTCAAGTTGGCGATCCAACGACCAACCCGTCCGTGGAGGATCAGGAATCAGAAAGGTGGAATAACTCTTATTTTTTCACTTTTACCCGATGTATTCCAGCATCCAGCTGCCATGCACGTGGGCATTGTCAGTTTCACTATAGCTCTGGTGAATTTCAATGGTGAAGTCCTCTGGAAATCTTCAATAATTGTTGTTGATTGCAGATGTGTCTAGTAGTTCCCATTGATTTAGCTTGGAAAGCGGGGAGAATGGCGCTAGGCTTACCGCACCGTGACGTCACTGCTGGAAGATGGCAGGAGGGAGGGGCTACTATATTTGGGCAAAAATGGCCGCTCCCAGACTCAGTGATTGCAACAAAAACTATTATTTTTATCTTTTTACTGATTAACACTAGATTAACTCACTGCAAATGTATTATTTTTAGTTATAAATAATGATCCATTTATTATTCCTTGCTGACCGGACTTTTCCTTTAAAATGTGTTTGGATTATATTGACCAGACTTATAATAAGAGAATTATACCAAATAAAAACTGAAATGGATCAGAACAAGAAAGGAGGAAAGAGGTTTATACTACAAAAAGCCTTAAAGTTATTTTCTTTAAACCAATGAATTGGAGAAAATAAAGATTCTCACATTATTGTTTTTTTTTTTTTTTTTTTTTACTTAATTGTGCAACACTTGTTGACCACTGAAAAGTTGGAAGTTTTTCTGCTTTATAACATGATTTAAGGCCTCATATTTTTATTTGTCATTCTTATAATAACGAAGACAAAAGAAAGCGTGATATTGTGGAAAGGTAAGTGTGAGTTAGCATTCATAAGTCAGGAAACACAGACCAGAAATGTTCAACAGGTTTCAGTGGTAAAATTGTTCCAAACCTACAAAATAGGTCAGCACTTTCTAGCACTTTCTCTAAACATCTGACCTTAATGAACAATGTAGAAACCTTTGATTGAATCATTAACTGGAAAATGTCAGTACACCAGAATGACTTAATTCAATTTAATTCAGTTTGTTTTTATAGCGCCAATTCACAACTAATGTCATCTCAAGGCACTTCCCAGTTCAACCAGATCCTCCAGTCAGATTGATTCAAAGTTTTCTATCTAAGGAAAACCAGCTGATTGCATCGACTCATTGACTCTTCAGCAATCCTTCACACTAAGCATGCTTGTAGCGACAGTGGAGAGGAAAAACTCCCTTTGAACAGGAAGAAACCTCCAGCAGAACCAGGCTCAGTGTGAGCGGCCATCTGCTGAGGCCCACTGGGGTTCAAGGAGACAGAAGCAGACATAGAAAAAGAAGCATAGATACAAAAAGCAGCTGTAAAAGGCGGCCCCGTCCAGGAAACACACAGCCAGGCAGACGAGCTCCGAGCCAGCTCCCATGTCAGAGGATGAAGAGAGCACATCCAGTTAGTCACAGTCAGAGAAACAGGACTACACTGGAAAACAGGCCAAGCTCCAACATCTAGAAACAAAGGTGTTGATGGCAGCAGCACAGCTGATATTTCACTTAAGAGACACTATTAATTTATAGGGGGCCGAGTAGGAGATACCCTCTTAGTATATAATCAGACTTCAAATAATGTGCAGCTGGACAATCCAGATACCTACAAAAAAATCAAATAAAATAAAAACTAAGATCATATTAAGGGGCTGATATGATGCTATTAGAAGTCATGCGTTACAGGTGTGCTTTGGTGGCGCAGTGGTTAGCGCACATGAACCCTGAATGGAGGCCTTTGTACTTGATGCAGCCGACTTGGGTTTGAATCTAACCTTTGGTTCTTATCTCTTCCCTTCTCTCATACCGAAAAACACAAGATTTTTTTGACTAGTGCTGTCAAAAAAAAAAGAAGTCCTGTATTACAGAAAATTAATGAAACGAGGAAAGAGGTGGACAAAGTACTTAACAGTAGTACTTAAGGAAAAGTACTGAAACTCAGTCAAATCTTACTAATGTAAAAGTTACTTGGTGAAACGTCTACTCAAATTCAAATATTGAAGTACTAATTTTTTAAAATAATTAAGTATTCAAAAGTACACGCATTCAAACGTTCTAAAGTATTAGACAAATGCACATTAAATTTTCTAATATCAGTATATTTCTGTATAATTTTCAGAGTAGTTTTAAAGAACCTGTTACATGTTGGAGATGTTGGAGATCGGCCTGTTTTCCAGTGTGGTCCTGTTTCTCTGACCGTGACTGAGTGGATGTGCTTTCTTCGTCCTCTGGCATGGGAGCTGCCTTGGAGCTCGTCTGCCTGGCTGTGTGTTTCCTGGACGGGGCCGCCTTTTACAGCTGCTTTTTGTATCTCTGCTTCTGTCTCCTTGAACCCCAGTCGGCCTCGGCAGATGGCCGCTCACACTGAGCCTGGTTCTGCTGGAGGTTTCTTCCTGTTAAAAGGGAGTTTTTCCTCTCCACTGTCGCTACAAGCATGCTTAGTGTGGGGGATTGTATTTGAGTCAATGAGTCAATGCAATCAACTGGTTTTCCTTAGATAGAAAACTTTGTATCAATTTGATCTGGTTGAACTGTAAAGTGCCTTGAGATGACATGTGTTGTGAATTTGGCGCTATATAAATAAACTGAATTGAATTGAATTGAATCAGAAACCACCTGATGTATTGATGCGTAGAACCACCTGATTCAGATTCTACAGCACCTGGAAAGAACTTCAGCATAAAAAGGTCACAAAAAAGGACAGATATTTGGATTATTATTTCTAATTTAAAAACAAACCAGAAATAAAGCAGGATAGTCTGGATTCTCCTTAAACTTTCTCTATAGAAGGTTTATGGTTTAATCTATGACCACATAGAAGCTATAACTCTGCTTTGAGACTCATCCTATTGATCAACTTGACCACATGGTAACAACTAACGCCTTAATAAAATGATAAACTACTAATAATATCTGCTCTGAGTTTCTCTCATCTGTGGAACGTCATTAAATCTGTAAATCAGCGGCGTCTAGATTCAGTCCTAATGGCTGCTATCCGCCATGATGGATGAAAACAGCAACAGAGGATTAAAAAGCTACGCTGAGCTAAAAGGAACAAGGAACTAACAGCTTCCTGGAAACTAAGTGGAGTAGAAAGTACAGTATTTGACAGTGAGATGTAGTGTCTTGAAGGTTTTAAGTATAAGTACCCGCTCAAAAAATACTCAAGCAAAGTAAAGATACTTAAGAAGAGTACTTAAGTGCAGTAATCAAGTACATTTAATTGGTTACTTTCCACCACTGGCTAAACTTGACCTCAAGTCAACAAAACCTGGACAGGATTGTTGATCTAGATAAGAGAAGATCTACAATGTAAACAAAAAAACAGTAGAAGATAGTAAACAAGAAAAGCATTTAAAGCCCCAACTCATTGTGATTTGGAAGCAAATGAATATAAAACTCAGGATTACACTGGAAAAACGATCTAAAAATATGTAAAAACTTCTTAAATTCAGTGTATTTACCCTTAATTTGAGTAGGTGAATTAGATACCTTGCCAATGGAATTAGTATTTTTACTCTTAAAATAAGGTAATATGTACTTGAAATAAGACAATGCAATTGTGTTTTCTTATTTTAAGTGTAAATTGTCTTGTTCCATTGGCAAAATGTCTCTTATACCTCCTCAATCCAAGAACAAATGCACTTATAAAAAAAAAAAGAAAAAAAAAAGACTTATCTAGATTCCGTTTTTTTCCAGTGTAAGATTAAACTGTTTAGATATTAGGTCTGAAAAAACTTTTCTAAGGGGCCTTTAAACAAAGTAGCCTTTAACCAACGACGGCCTGAAACAGACAATGATTTCACCAAAACCTTTGGAGATCTCTGATGTTGTTATTCTACATGATGAATATTAACTCTGTGAAGACTTCCTTCCACCCTGATATTCTTTTAATGCATCTTTAGCAGACAGAGCGCTTTTTTAGGATTTGTTTTAGGTTAAAACTCTGAGCAGTTATCACTGAAACAAGGAAATGTCATTCAGGTTGATCAATACTTTGAGGACAAGGTTTACCGGGAAAAAGAATTTGACTCTGTGATCACGCAGTCTGGAAAATTGATGTCTTCTTATTTTCAGCTCAGCGTCTTGTTTGTCTTTGCTCACATCGAACCAGCCTCAATCTAACCTCCAGTGGATCTATTTCTACGCTTGCTCAACAACTTGCTGGCATCAAGCTGAGAGGTTGAATTTCTTCGGAGCGTAAGTAAGCAATGACTGAAATAAAATAGCAAGCAAGCTTAGACAGTGACTGAAAACAAACCTAATTTTTAAAGCTACAGTATGTGAAAATAAAAAGTACTTTACTCTAAAGGCAAAGTCCACATATATAGAGAAATCAAACTACTTTCCTCTTCTTTATTTTGTGCATAAAAAGAATTAGCTACATATACACTATGTATACTACACTTTTGATTAAAATTAGAAGACCAGGGAAGGGATGACAAATATTTGCATTTTAAGTTAGTGGATCATAACAAGGTTGTCAAAACATAAAAAAAAAAAAGATTAAAAAAACATTGTATAAAGTTGAATTTAAGCAAAGAAGCTTCATCAGCAGATTAAATATTCTGACAATTACATTTAAAAAGTTCAAATCTGTTGAAATGTATTTTACTGTCTGGTATTTAATGGCGCTCCGATTGTAGGGTAACAAATCTATCTTTAAATGTAAAAGGACTGTAAAACTGCAGGAGCAAAGGAAACACCAGATTTATTAAAGGAGAAGTTCGGTTTTTAACACTTTTAGCCCATTTTCTGTAGTGTCCAGGATGAAATCGAATGATCGACACCAAAATGTTGACAATTGGTCCTGTCTCTGCTTTTTGGCTCATTTAGAATCCCCCCCTGGCTGCTTTAGAATGGAGCACTTTAGAAAGAGCATGTCCGATAATGTCCTTAAAACAACCTTAAACGTTCTTTTTTTAAAATATGCTACTCACCGGGTCGTCAGCGCTGTTCAATGACGTTCCAAAAAAAGTTTCGTGAAGAAAAAACGTTCCTGTAGTGTTTTATTTAGCATTTTGTAAATCCCATTGAGTTCTGTTGGAATAGTCAATATTCCTCCGCCACCGGAAACGGAAATGGGGCCTGTTTACACAGTTGTAGTCTTTTCGCTTCACTCTGTGTACTCCGACGTCGAGGTGCTAACGTCTCTGTTAAACACTTTAAAAAACTCTGAAAATGGAATACGAAAGGTGGATTCTTGATTCTCGACGTCGGAGTACACAGATTGAAGCGAAAAGACTACAACTGTGTAAACAGGCCCCATTTCCGTTTCCGGTGGCAGGGGAATATTGACTATTCCAACAGAACTCAATGGGATTTACAAAATGCTAAATAAAACACTACAGGAACGTTTTTTCTTTACGAAACTGTTTTTGGAATGTCATTGAACAGCGCTGACGACCCGGTGAGTAGCATATTTAAAAAAAAGAACGTTTAAGGTTGTTTTAAGGACATTATCGGACATGCACTATGGAAGCCATTCTGAAGCAGCCAGGGGTGGATTCTAAATGAGCCAAAAAGCAGAGACAGGACCAATTGTCAACATTTTGGTGTCGATCATTCGATTTCATCCTGGACACTACAGAAAATGGGCTAAAAGTGTTAAAAACCGAACTTCTCCTTTAATGGTGATGAGGTCAAATTATTAGAATCTGGAAATTTCCATTGCTAAAATCTTTAGCTTCTTTCACAGAATCAGAAGCAAACATTATGGTGACTTACTTTTGTAACCTTACAAAAGAATTGTTTCTCTTTTAAGCTATTTATCCACATTAGAATCACATACCTTTATAAGTTTTATTGCAACTTTATGCAACAGACAAACAAAAGATAATGAATAATTGCAAAGTGGAAAAAAAAGTATTCAAGATTTTGACATTTTTTACGCATACGAATTTTAAAAGTGAGTTGTGCTTACGAAATAGGGGGTTTTAAAGGAGATTGTTTCACTAGATCTTACTTGCCAATATTGGACTGAACAGGAATGCTTCTCTGTTGTTTGAAAAAAAGCGTAAAACTCAGTTTCCTTTTTTTGACTTCATTTTTATATTTGTTTCTATTAGTTTATTGAATCAAATCCTTGAGTAAGTATGCTTAGGTTTGTGGTTGTGACAATATCTTAAGATGTTTAAGTGGTGCTATATTACTGCTTTTGCGAGGCATTTAAAAAGACTTGGTGTAGTAGTAGTGATCAAGAAATAATAAAGAACAAAGACAAAAGTTGTAATACCTTTAATCACCATCAAACCCCATTTTAAAATGTTATGCACCATACCTTACATAACTACATCGGATTCTACGTTTTCCGCGTCAAATTGAACGCAACTTCGTTTCACAATCCCCAGACAAAAGCTTCTATTCCGAGATGTTCCTGAACGCCTCTCTCGTCGTCCTGCGCTTGGTAGATCTCAACGTATCCGGATGCATTGTGAGCACGTAGACACTGGCAGAGCCTCCATGATAATGTGTCCCATCCATACTGCTATAAACCTTCAGACTAGCTGTAGTTCCTGTAGGGGAGGCTAGCAGGTTAGCTTGATGTAACCTAGTTTGTAGCAGGAGGCGTTACATCACTTTGGGTCGTGTCCCACCTGGGAAATAACGGCTTGGAGGAACCTAACTCTTCATAATTCATATAATTTTGTGATAATATGACACTTTGACTTAATAGAAAGAAAATAGACAGCCTTAGATATTAACCACATTTGTTGTTTTTCTAAAAGAGGCTGTCAAAACGCGACGAGTTTCAACAAGGACAGTAAGTAAAACCTGTATGTTAGTTAGTTATACATGTTCTACTGTGATATAAGTTAGCTACAGTAGCTTATTAGCTTGTTGAAATGAGCTGCGCAGTTTGCGGGTTTGCTGTGCGGCTGGTATTTGCCGTCCAGCGGCGGTGTCAGGCTGGGGCCTAGCTGCAGCGGCTAACTGACCAATCATTGTTTATTTGTCATCTGCTGTTGTTCTGTTCAGGTTAGATTACACCGCGGCGCACTTTACACAAGCAGGTTTATATGGACAAAGTTTTAATTTATTGAGCTTTTTTCCTCCGCCTGTTTATTGACCTGCTTTGCTAAAGTTAACATTCACGGTTAAATGTGTTTTTTAATAACCGTCCAGTTTAGGTGTCGCTCTGCAGATGTTTATCCAGCTGTTTTGTTTTTTTTTTTAGACAAACTGCTTCATGTTGTTTACTTTGGTCGTTGGTCATGCGGGATTATTACACTGCAGTTCACTGAATCTACAATAAAATACAAATCTGTGTCTATTAATGAAATATTAAGTTATTATTAACCTTACTGTTAAACACGCTGCCACAGCTGAATATTTTTGGTGTGATGCATTTCAGTGGATTACAGTTATTTGTTGAAATTTTAGCGCATTTATTCATCTTATCTGATTTATTGTTATAATTAACCTTGATGAAGATTTGACTTTCTAAATCTCACTAACTTTTCCACTCTTATCAGGTTTGGTTCTAACTAGATAAAGATAAAACCGTTGTGAGGGATTCACCACAAACTGGATCAAGTCTGAACAATTTACAGATTGTCTTAATTCAATTCAGTTTATTTCTATAGCGCCAATTCACATCATGTCATCTCAGGGCACTTTACAGTTCAACCAGATCATCCAGTCAGATTGATTCAAAGTTGCTGATTGCGTCGACTCATTGACTGGGATACAATCCCTTACACTAAGCATGCTTGTAGCGACAGTGGAGAGGAAAAACTCCCTTTTAACAGGAAGAAACCTCCAGCAGACATACTGCAGTTTATAAACACTCTGGTAAAAGTTAAAGAATCAACTTGTCCTCTTTACTCAAGTAAAAGTGAAAAAGTTTGCGCTCCAAAAACTACTTAAAGTATAAAATAACCTTAAAAAAACAGCCAGATGCCGCTATATGAACTGAAAGCTCAATCTTTCGACTATTTCTATAAATCCTCTGAGATAGGGCCAAGGATGAGGGAGGTCTTGTTGGTCTCCGTCTCCCGATACGCTCTCGCCTGTGTCCGACCTTTCAGACATTTCAACATCTTTTTCTGAATCCCACATTGTAGCATGGCATAGACAATTCACGTTAGCAGTTTGAAGAACACCTGCTTGCTTCTGATGATTTCCTTTAGCTAACCAATGAGTATTTGCGTTCTATGACTCATCCAATCACACTAGTTTTCACTAGATGTGGGTGGAGCCAATGATCTGCATTGGATGGAGCACATGACGGGAAATAAAGATTTAGAAATATTAACCCGAAGCCAAGAGTAACGATTGTTTTAAAAATGTAAGGAACAGAAAGTACAGATGCTGTGTGAAAATGTAATGAGTAGAAGTCAGAAGTAGGAGGAAAAAGAAGTAATGGAGAAAAGTATAGATATCTTAGAAGTAGGGTTGTCAAAAGTATTAATACTCAAAAAACCTAAACAGTCATTCATCTAAACTGCAGAATAGAGGAAAATGCACTTTCAGAACACTGTGTGATTGAATAATTCTGTGTACAGCATACAACCTGTATTGTATTTATTTATTGTTTTTTATTTTATTTATTAATGAAAATATTTCTGTAGAATTTTGGAGTCTTTGTTTTTATCCTTGTGGTATCGAAAATGGTATCAAGTATCAAATATTTTCCTTAGCATTGGTATCGAGTTGAAAAGTTTAGTATCATGACAACCCTACTTAGAAGTGTACTTAAGTACAGTAACAAAGTATTTGTACTTAGTTACTTTGAGCAGCCCTTAAATTTGTCTTATTAAACAATCAGAATTACTTTATCAGGATTACTTTATTAATTTCATCTGGGAAATTATTTTCTTGCATTTACAGATAGGGTTGTCAAAAGTATCGATACTCAAAAAGGTATCGATACTGAAACATTGTATCCGGATACAATACTCGTTTTTAAAAGTATCGATACAGTGCCACCACCAGTGGCACCTAAGCAGTCATTCATCTAAAGTGCAAAGTAAAGGACAATGCACTTTCAGAACACTGTATGATTGAATAATTCTGTGAACTTCTCAGTTTCAGACTTTATTTTTGTAACAGGTGCCGCTGCTGAGAATTATTTTTGTTTCTTAACCGGTTTGGCTAGTGTCATTGCTATGTGTGCAAAGCATAGCCAAGGAAGGAACACTTAATTTTAATTTTTTTAATTTTTTTTATCAAGCTTGCTTAAAGGCACACTATGCAACATTTTTCAGTTAATTAATGTGTTCCATAACGTTTTGGATGATTAAATGAGTCATTTCAGGTTGAACAAAGGTATTCTCGGCCGCCCTGGTGGTCTGTGGGGGAAATACTGCACTTGCAATTGCAGGAGCACCGACCCGCACCCACAGGCTCAGAAGTCTCGTGAGAGTCGGTCTTGCTTTACGGCGAGAACTGCTACACGCCCCCAGTTAAAAGCATTCTCGTTGCTAGCACAGTGGCGATCCTTGTGCAGTTATGCTACGTTCACGCAGCAAAAGCAGCAAAATCGTGTCTGCTGCTTCATTTTTGCTGCTTGAACCAGTTAGTTCTGACGCTCTGGCTGTGCGGTGCAAAAGTGTGTCTGACGCGCGTTGGGCGGAGCTTCACTATCCTTTCTCTGCCTTGCGGCTATATTTGCTGTGATCATTTGGAATAAAGTAGTTTTAATATGTGTTTAAATTAGAAAATACACCTGAAAACGTAATCAGTGCCGTCAGTTCATTCAGATTATTATCCTGCCTTCAATATTTTTTCTGTCGGAGCCGCTCAGACCCCCACATACCAGCGGGGCGCCGACAGAAGGAACCCCTTCATCAGCAGCCTCTGGCCAGGTCACGTCCTCGCGGTTCACCGCGGCAGCTGGTAGGTGTTTTTCATCTAAATAATCCAAACTGCATATTCTGCCGGCAGATTTCTGCATTTTAAGTTAATTTAGGCGTCAATAAACTGTTTAAGAGGAGTGATCATAGCCTCTGATCATCAGCGCTGTGTCTCTCTCCCTGCTTCAGCTGCTCAGACGCGCTGGGCCTGCTGCTCCTTTGCTGCGCCTTGACGCGCGTCAACCATTGACTTTGCATGTAAACTCGCTGCTTCTGTCGCGCCAGCTGCGGTGTGAACGCAGCATTAGTCATTCGTTGCGTTCGCCTGTCTGCTAAGCTCAAAACAACCGCGCCTGGCTTGACGGAGAAACCAGGAGAACAGCTGTGCATATTTACGACAGTGCACTTTTACTTTCGCCCTCTGGGGGGAGTCTCGCTGGAAAATCAACACCGGTTGCATAGTGTACCTTTAATATTGTGCACAGCATACAACCTCAAAATATTGTTCTTATTGTTTATTGTATTTATTTGTTGTATTTTATTTATTATTGAAAATATTTCTGTAGAATTTTGGAGTCTTTGTTTTTAACCTTGTGGTATCGAAAATGGTATCGAATATTTTCCTTAGTATCGGTATCGAGTTGAAAAGTTTAGTATCGTGACAACCCTATTTACAGAACAGAGGAAAAAATATAGTGTAAGTAAAATAGGGCAAGATGTAATATAGTATAATAAGACACAATAAAATAAATAAAATTGGTAAAATTACATCCCACCAGAGCATGTGAGCGGAGCGGAAGAGAAATGGTGGAGCACAGAGCTGTTCTGAATTAAAGTTGGCATCAATGCGCTCACATCAATTAAAAATGTTGGATTATGAAATTTGTAAAATAAAATGTATTTGATCTAAGAGTGATTTTTTTTTGTGACTATTAATAATTAAATAGGAAACGAGGGGCAACATGAATGGAGCGAGGTGTTCCAGCCGGGAAACAGTGCGATAATTTAACAGCCAGTTAAACAAGACAATATGTATCGGTCACATCATTTAATCAAACGCCGTGTGTCCCAGGGCCCCGGCATCATTACAGGAAAAATGTCAGAAAAGGCCTTCTCCTGAAAATGTGAGCAAGCGTGGAGCGATTTCGCCGGAACAGCAGGAAAATTAAGGTGAGCTCAGAGCGGATTTTGATTGGAGCGTACTGGCGCAACTTTGAACGGCGGAGCGAATGAACGAACGTCCTCCTGAGCGGGAATTGTGCTGCGCTCTGGTCACATGCTCTGCATCCCACGCCGTAAAATAACCCCCTTCCCATATAAACAGTTCCAAATAAGATATAAGAACAAAATAAGATACAGACAAAATTAAAATAAAGATCACATTATATACAATCAACTGTATTTCCAATTTTCATTGCTGTTTAATACCAAGTTACTATTATTGCACGACTGTGTTATAGTGCATAGTCAACTAACGAAATAAATGGTGAGAAATTAAATGAAATGTGACGAAGGAATGAATGGAATGTGTGACGCGTTAAACAATTTTTATGAGACTAATAAAAAATTACAGTTTAAACATTTTAAACACCAAGATTGCTTAAACCTGGACTTATTTCAGTTAGACTCGACACCTACAGGCATGCAGTTTAAATGCCTCTAAATAAGAAAGGATAAGATAGGATGCAATTTAAACGCCACGCCACCTTCACTGGTTGACTGGGATTAAATAAATTTGTTGACATCACGGATGCTGTAAGAAATAGTTTGTAAATTAGAGAAACATTTTACTAAAATTCATTCAAGCTGGACTAAATTGTAGATACTAAATAAATGAAAAGCCTCAATTTATTTCTTTTTCCTACATAAAAATATAAGTTGAATATGTGATGATTTACGATCTCTAGTTCCTTTGTTATATAACCTTTTATTTTCAAGATTATTTCCAGGTTTAATCTCTTTAATTAGTGTAATTTTTAAAACAGATGTCTGTTTAAAGTTTTATTCAAGCCAAATAAGCATTAAAATCACTCTTTTTATAACAGTTTAATGAAATGTATGCTGTCTTTTTTTATAAAATAGTTTTATAATCATTAGTTAGGGGTATTTCTGTCCAACTTTGACCTTTGTACATAATAAATATTTCACTTGTTCTCAGTGTAAAGGTTTTGAAATTGTGATTAAAATGCTCTTTGTCTGTTTTCATAAATGCACTTATTTTACAACAAACTGTGTTTTATTGAGTATAAAATGAGTATAAAGCAATATTTATAACAACAACTGATAATGTGTCATCTAGAGTGGATAAACACCTTATATTTGACTCCTTGTAGCTCTTCAGAATACCACATTACATTTATTTAACATTTTTCCTGCAGAGTTTGTTATTCATATACGAGTTTATTGTGAAATCTGACACAGATATCTGGTGCTGCGGTAATCAAACTCCTGCTGTTAACCTGTGCGGCTTGTTTCTCCTTCTTGCTTTGTGTAACATGGATCTCCCCCCTCCCTCCCCCCAGGGTTTGACACGGAAGAAGACATGTCCTGTCCATGTACTTCAGCTGCCAGGCTGTTCCTAAACACTGCTCACAGAGGTAAGAAATAGAAAATCCACGTTCTGCCGACTAAAGCTGCCTTAAACTTTGCTCCATTTAACCTACATAACATTTCGTTATGAGAGTCGTGGCACTAATGTCAACAGCAGCTGTAAAAGTGGGTTGTAGGGTTGGGACGCTAAAGATAGGCCAAGGATGTTACATCACAGCTTTTTTGTAGTCCTGAACTCTGGTACGTTTTTAGATTAAACTGATAATTATAAATAGGAAAAAAATGCTAATTTATTTATGGGCCTATGTGTTGGTTTAGTTAACCTTTAACCCAGATGATAATACTTAGAACAACACAGAAATCTATGTTACATCCTCAATATAATGGTAATCAGGCTACCCTGCAAGGCTTTAAACCTGGGTTTAACCGGAGACTAAGCCATTCTCAAGCACATATCAAGGAGCTCATTTTGAGCCTGGATCCAGATTTATTGTTGATTCTGTTCATGGTGGAGAATCCTGCTTCACAGCAGCAGGTTGAGCCAAACATCCTCTAAATGTGCAGGGTCATCTTTGAGCACGCCATTTCACTTTTCTTTCACCAGTTCACCGCAGTTCTTCCAGCAGTCCACACTTTCTCTGCTCTCTTTTTCTCATGGTCTTCTCCTTCTTTCCCATCGCCCAGCTTGCCACAGGTTTGCCTGCTGTGTCTAAAAGTAGCAGCAGCAGCAACCCAGACTGACAGCAGCTCATTGGCTCATTTGGATCACGCGCAGCCTGGAGCCGGACGCTCCCCAGGGCTTTACCGTATTAACAGGAGAAGAGGAGCAAGTGAAATTAGACACTGCCGTCAGACAACATGCAGTAATTTATAAATGTTTTAAATCAGGTTGGGTCCGCTAATCCATGACCTCTGACCTAATTTGTTATCAAGCTAGGGCCGAAACTAACTGTTATTTTGCAAATCGATTAATATGTCGATTATTTTTTTCGATTAATAATCGGATAAACAAAGAGTCCTTGAAGAAGATTTTTTAAGAAATGAAACCAGGTGAAACTAAAACTTTTCCACTTGAGGAGTTCTGGATAGAGCAGATTGACAGACGAAACGTTTTTTTTTTTTTATCTGAAATGTAAAATATTTAGTAATGTTTTTATAACCTTGGTATAATTCCTGCTCTAGCAGCTAAAGGCATATTTTATAGTCTTGTCGTTTTCCTCTCTATGTTTTGTACTCAGCTGACTAAAGGCCTGGTTCTCCTCCCCCAGCAGTGTGTCGCAGTGAACTTGTTGCAGATATTTTTGATTTATGTCCAATATTGAAGCGTGGTCTGCGCTATGTTATTCCACGCCACAACACCAGAGGGACAATCAGGAACTAGCTGTGGGTCTAGATACCGCTGAGGCGGTGAGGAAGTGGGGGCACGTTTGTGTGAAAAAGGAGGGACATGAGGGCCAAAAAGAGCGGGGATCCAGGTGGAAAAAGGGTCCCAGCGTTCTCGCACACCTCGCTCTGCTAGCTGCTCCATCTTCACCAGTCGTTTTCCACAATGGCGGTCGGAAAAAAAAACAAGCCGATAAGGAACCAAACAGGAAATGCGCATAGGGTAGAGCGGATGTAGATTTGACCAATCAGAGGCCTCCTGTCTGTCATCATCTACCGTTTTGAGGTGGTGCAGCAGAGTGTCTGCGGAGGGGGCAGGGGCATATTTGTATGAGTATAAACAAGCCTTTTTCATGCTGTCTCTAAAGGAATGAAAGATTTTTTCCAAGCACTAAGCTCACTTAGCTGATTGCTCCTTCCTGTGTTTCCAAAAAGGCCAAAGTAAATAACCCAGTCCTTCTTTTCACTGTAGACAAGCCATGATCTGCTTATCTGTTCTCCATTTTTCATTTGGATGAAATAATAGCTGCATGAATCATGACAGCAGACAAGATAGAGGAGAGCAGGAGGCGGGGTTACCAATCTACTCGCTCTGGAGAGCAGAGTTCGCTGCTTTTAGATGTTGTCTCCAAAGTCTCCAGTAGCAGAAAAAAGTCTCTAGATTTGGGGCTAGGAGCTTTTTAGAAATCAAAGCGCTAGAGGGGTCTGAAAAGTGGCTAAATATAGCGACTAAAGCGCTAAGTTGGCAACACTGCTCTTTGCATGGTTTGTTTTCAAATGGTTTGCTGCTGTCTGTTTGGACCTTTCTGAACATGTGCAGCAAATGGACTGATCCAATATGGTGGACACTGAAGGGGGGGGCTGAGACACACTTAATATTATCAGCGTTCTGATGGCATTTTAGTGAAAGGGTTTTTATAAAAAAAAAATTTATGTGCACAAACGAGGAATGGTTATATTAATTACACATGTAAACAGAGTTTTATGGGGCCCCCGGAGCTTGGGGCCCTAGGCACCTGCCTGGTATTGCCTAATGAAAAATCCCCCCCCCTGGCCATGAGTGAACTGTAGACTACCGCTAGAAATAACAGGTGTTAAAGCAGGTACATGACATCCTCAAGAAATTAGAAAATAGCCTCAGGCTTTGTACGAAATGTTCTCTGACAGACGGCTCATTTATGTACTGGAAAAAAAGGTTGTGTGCAAAATTGAAATAAGTTTTTTATTTTTTTCTTTCTATAGTCCCCTAGTTTTATTATGTGTTTAAATACAATGTTTTTTAATTGGAAGTTTCTGCTTATCTTTTATCATTTCTTTCAGGATTATCATGTTCTCGGATTCAACTTTTTTCCATGAGCCGTCGAGGATCTCGGGAAACCTTTCATCCTCGCGTCTGCGTGAGGTCGTTTTCAGAGACCGCAGTCTGTTACACTGCTAAAGACGGGACACCCAAGGACGGCGGGAATGACAGTGGAAAGGTAACCTTCTCTCCGTTATCCGGTTAATAGAAACAACCTGAGCTCTTTCATTTCATCTGTCGTTTTTTCTACAGAAAAGCGTCGGCGATGGAAAGAGGACGTCCGGCTCCGGTGGGTCAGGCAAAGGTGGAAGCCAGCTACGCTGCCCCAAATGCGGAGACCCCTGCACACATGTAGAGACCTTTGTGTGTAAGTAGACCTGATCTGCTTCACCAGCCGTCTGGCCAAACTAAGGCTTTATTTGAAACATTTCAGCCATGTGAAAATCTCATTATTGTTGACCCATATTTGTGAAAGACGTGTCTGGAGTGCAAACATGTGCAAGCAGGGATTTACAGGTTAAAGGAGAAGTTTGGCAGCAAGGAATAATGAATGGATCTTTATTTATACCTGAACTAATACGCTCGCAGTGATTTAATTAATTTGGGGTTAATCAGATCACTGAGTCTGGGAGCGGCCGTTTTGGCCCAAATATAGTCACCCCTCCCTCCTGCCATCTTCCAGCAGTGACGTCACGGTGCGGTAAGCCTAGCGCCATTCTCCCCGCTTTCCAAGCTAAATCAATGGGAACTACTAGACACATCTGCAATCAACAACAATTATTGAAGATTTCCAGAGGACTTCACCATTGAAATTCACCAGAGCTATAGTGAAACTGACAATGCCCACGTGCATGGCAGCTGGATGCTGGAATACATCGGGTAAAAGTGAAAAAAAGAGTTATTCCACCTTTCTGATTCCTGATCCTCCACGGACGGGTTGGTCGTTGGATCGCCAACTTGAAGAGGGAGGATTTGCCATCGAACTTCTGGCCAGAGAAAAAACCCCTAATATGTAGCCAACATTTGGAAGAAGAATGTTTTCAAGATGACTTGGATAATAGGGATGGAACGGTTTATGAAAACCGTCCGAACCGTTCGGTTCGACTGTCTCTGTTCGAGTTAGGGATGGAACTGTTTACAAAATCCACGGTTCGGTTCGATTCACGGTTTTGTGGTCACAGTTTTCGGTTTGGTTCGATTCGGTATACGTTGATTGTTACACCAAAATCCCATAAAAATGAATGAAATCAATGAAAAAATCCCCCAAAAAATAATGGATTGTAATTATTTTTAATGATTCGCTGCAACATGACTTTGGTCGCAGTAGCGCCACCTTCTGCTCTGGAGTGTAAACGCTTCGCCTATGAGAAAAAGGAGCAGCGCATGAACCGAACACAACACACGCGAACCGAACCGAGACAGTCGAACCGAAAGGATCGGACGGTTTCCATAAACCGTCCCATCCCTAGTTCGCCTGTGTTGGTTCGTAGGTCACTTTGCATTTAGAGTGACCTACGATGACGGCGGAAAGAAAGTTGTGGATAAAAGTGCAACAGTGCGCAAGCATTGTGCTGCACGTTTTGTTTATGCTAACAGCAACATGACCAACATGTCAGGCTAACAATCAACATATACCGAACCGTGAACCGAACCGTGGAATTTGTGAACCGTTCCACCCCTATTGGATAATGGCGTGTTGTGACACACACCAGATACAGCGCTGCCCCTGCTGCTCTAGACACTGCAGGACCTTTTGCTGCACCTTGATGCACATCAACTATTGGCTTTGCATTTAAACTCGCTGCTTCTGCTGCTTTAGGTGTGAAGGTAGCATTAGCGTTAGCTATTATTAACATACAGAAAGGTGTGAGGAAAATAAACATTTTTAGTTTATTTTGATCCTCTCAGCTAACAGCACCTCTCTGCTCGCCACCATTTCTCCACTCAGTGATGCGTCTCTTGTGTTTTCTGTTATTGAATCTTTCCCAGCAGCTCTCACTCTTTCCTGCGATCTAAACCTTGGGCCTGGATTAGATAAACAGAAGTGCAAACGCAGCACTTAAATATGCAACGCAAACAGCCAGGAGTTGTTTGGTTTTTTTTCTGTGTCTGTTTACCATTCTCTTCTGCTTTTGTTTTGCAACATCAGCTGATTAGCTCCGGCTTGCTGAAACATCTGAGACAATCAGAAGAGCATTTTAACACTTTTTCCTAAGATACTGTGGTGTTAACTTAGCTTCTTTAGATCAAGATGAGTGACTGTCAGTAAAACCTCAGATCCACATGTTTCACCTCACTTTGCTCTGTTTTGGTTTATATGAGCTGGTTTAACTATTTAGAGTTTTAGTTTCATGTCATTTCACTAAACTGCACGGTGGGGTTAAGGTTAATTACCAATAATAAAACTGTTTACTATAGAATAAAGCACATTTCTCTTTATTTTGGTATCAAAATATAAAACAGAAGTAAATTCATTGTATGCATCCTGCCATGTTTTAGGAACCATGTTTTATAAATGTTGTTTGTTTTCTGCGCAGCATCAACACGGTTTGTCAAATGCGAGAAGTGTCATCACTTTTTCGTGGTCTTATCTGAAACGGACTCTAAAAAAGGGCTAAACAAAGAGCCGGAATCGGCCGCCGAGGCAGTGAAGCTGGCGTTTGCACAGAAACCTCCTCCTCCTCCCAAGAAGGTTAGAAAGGAAACATGCTAATCTGACTCTGGAAATCCTTCATTTATTTATTTTTTTAAAGCCACGTTTTTAAATCTTCTTGTAGATTTATGCCTATCTGGATAAGTATGTTGTCGGCCAGTCGTATGCGAAGAAGGTCTTGGCTGTGGCGGTGTACAATCACTACAAGCGCATCTACAACAACATCCCTGCAGGGAGCCGACAGCAGGTGGAGGCGGAGAAACAGCCGTCTTTAACACCACGAGGTCAGAGGTCATCTTTTCTACACACGGTGACATCATCTTTAAAAGATCCATATCTGTCAAATATTATTAGTATATTTTGTTTGTTATAGTTCCTGTCTAATAAGCTGGTGAGGATTCTCAGTTATCCAGGTCATAGTCATTCCAAAAAAGTTTAAAAACAATCCACTGGACTTTGTTTCCAAGTTTGAAGACGTTTCTCTTCCATCCAGGAAGATTTTTCAATTCAAAATGTCAGAAATAGCGTTTAGTTCCAGGTTTTATCCAGCAGCCCAACAAAGCCTGGTTTTAGTTTAGAAAACATGCAAATAGAAACGGATGAACGGGTCCCCCCCTTTGGAATGGGGGTCGTTTGGCTTCTTTGTTAGCCTTCAAAACCCCATACCTGTCTATGTCTCTGAAAGGGGGTCGTTAAAGGGAATAGTTGGTCTGGCTGAATAGGTGAGGTCTTCTACTCTCATGTAAAGGGGTTGAGGTTGCGATGACGGGAAGCAATCAACTCAAATGCTGCAATGTTTGAGAGGGGCGTGAAGGAAACCATGTATGTTAAGGAAGAAAAAACAACCTTAGAGAGGGGGGGGGGATCAGATTTCAGCTTTCAAAAACGTACGATGCAGCGATAGAGTTGATTCCCTCCTGCTATCATCGCAGTCCCGCCCCCTTACAGGAGAACAGAAGACCTCGTCTATTCAGCAAGACCAACTATTCCCTCTAACGACCCCCCCCCTTTCCTTTGGAACGGGTTCACTCCATCCCAAAGGGGGGGACCCGTTCATCCGTTTCTATTTGCATGTTTTCTAAACTAAAACCAGGCTTTGTTGGGCTGCTGGATAAAACCTGGAACTAAACGCTATTTCTGACATTTTGGATTGAAAAAGCTTCCTGGATGGAAGAGAAACGTCTTCAAAACTTGGAAACAAAGTCCAGAGGATTGATTTTTGTTTTGTTTTTAACTTTTATTGGAATCTGGGCTAAAATGCTAAAGATGCTGCGAACTGCTTTTTTTTCTCCAAAATTAACATTGATTATATTTATTAACTTCTATGCCGTAGACCTTAAACAATATTGCCGTTTCTGTGTTTAACCTCATTTTAGCAACAAAGATAGTTTCTGTACGGAAGAGGATTAGGGCCACTGAAAAAAAAAAAAAAAGAAAAAGTTAACTGATTTTTAAATTTTATTTCGGTTTAATATGGGAAAAAGGTCAGAATTCTGATTGAATTCTGACAGCTAACAAACATGTTAGCATCAAGCCATAGCCATGTCTGTTTTAGAGACTAGCTCTCTTGTTTTAATGAACTTCTGCTCCTCCATTAATGAGGGGACCCCTCTGGAACGTAAAAAGTTGCCTAATTCCGTCATTTTCCACCAATGTGTCACTGGCCACCTCAAACAGCTCACATCTTTGTCAGTGAAGCTGAGTGCTCCACATCTCTGCCTTCATGGTGCCCATCTACATTAAGATCCAAAATTCTGAGAATAAAGTCAGAATTCTGAGAAAAAGTCAGAATTATGAGATTAAAGTTTTTTTCCCATATTAAACTGAAATAAAATTTAAAAATCAGTTAACTTTTTTTTTTTTCCAGTGGCCCTAATCCCCTTCTGCAGTTTCTGGGATCCTGAAATCTTTTAATAATTTTGTGCCTGTGGTTAGGTAATTGTTAGATTCTGAGGTTCAGTTTTGAAACGTAAATCTGTGTTTGCTCTAAATGAAACGAATCACTACAGTTTTAATAAATAAAAAAGTAATGAGCCGATAAACTCTCCAGGCAGTCAAAGGTTTCATTTTGAAATCCAGCTCTTCATCTAGATGTTATCAAATTAATACCAAACTCAGTCTTATTTAACGTGCCGTCGTATTTTATTTTTATCTCCAAATACTCTAAAGTTTAAATAGTATCAGGACAAGGTCAGATATGCTCATTATTGCTGATTTTAACTTTTATCAGTTAACTACGAGTTTCTATTTTGTATCAATATGTTAATGCATTTAAAAACAAAATGTCTTGATCATTTGTTCCGTTAGGAAATAAACTGGTTTCTCTAAAAACTGTAATTTCTAAGGTAAATAATAACATTTATTAAAATGTTAAACTCTGTATTTAAATATATTTGCTCACTGCAAAAAAATAACATCGAAATAAGTTAAAATTTTCTTGAATTAAGTGTATTTAGCCTCAATTTTAGCAAGTAAATAAGATTATTTGCTAATGGAAATAGTTTTTTTTTACTGTTAAAATACGATATAATAGATAAAATGCACTTAAAATAAGACAATGCAATTATTTTTTTCTTAATTTAATTAAAAATCTGATTTAGTATCTCACTTAACTCCTCAAACCAAGAAAAAAATACTTATTTAAATTATTTGCAGCTCTACTTTAGATTTATAAGTGTTTAAAAAGACATTTTCATAGAGTGCATTTAAAGCAATAACAGGAATCTTATGCAGCTTTTATTTTTTTTTCATCAGTATCTATAAAGCTTGACTTTGAATGCATAAAGAATCTCCTCCTGTTCATAGAAATAACCGAATGGTGGGACAGTTCTGTATTGTTTGGCATTTGTTCAATAATAATTTTCCATGGAAGTGCATTGATAATGTTGCAGTGGTAATAATGTTAACTGGTATTATTGATTGAAGTACTTTGATCCTCTCCTTGTAGAGCTAGAGATGAGAAGACGAGAGGATGAATACAGATTCACAAGTAAGTGACTGACTGACCTCACTGTTATCAGACAGACTTTCACATCAGCTTTAATGCTTCTGTCAGTTGTGCAAATGCCAAAATTTACAGACCTCAGGGGGTTTCTTTAATTTCACAGAAATAGTCAAATTATTATTATTTTTTTTATTGTTTTTAATTGTTTAACTTTTATTGTAAAAGGTGAATCATTCAGGGCTACATTTCAGTAATTTATTAGAGTAATTTCTCTCCCATTGCGAAATTTTATATGAATTCTTTAGTAGAGTGATATAATTTAATGCTTTAATTTTGAATCGTTTTCATAATTATACCTTGTAACAATAAAACACTAAGCTTGAATAAGACCAATAAAAAGGGCTTATAAATGCAGAGCTGTTATATTTCGGCCCTCTTACACTGGAAAAAATCGAAATCTAGATAAGTCATTTTTTTTTTTTTAAATAAGTGCATTTGTTCTTGGATTGAGGAGGTAGAAGAGACATTTTGCAAATGGAACAAGACAATTTACACTTAAAATAAGAAAACACAATTATGTTGTCTTATTTCAAGTGCATATTATCTAATTATCTTATTTTAAGAGTAAAAATACTCATTCCATTGGCAAACTATCTCGTTTACTTACTTAAAATAAGGATAAATAAACTTAATTTAAGAAATTCTTAATCGTTTTTGCAGTGTATGGTTAATCAAACTTGGGAGAAGAAAACCGCCTCAGTTAAATAATCTGGAACTAATCTCGTCTGCTGTTCCTTTGAGAGATAATTTAACATTTCAGTCCAAAGTTAATTCTAATAAAACAGTCAAGTCGATCACAGCGTAAGAGAACCTGCTCCTGTTTTTTATTGGTATTATCGATGTAAACTCTGTCATAGACCAGGATTTGTCACCTGGATTTATAGTAATTGTTTTCCAGCCGGTAGAGGAGCAGATATCTTCCTTCTTATTAAAAAAAAAATTTAAACACAGATCTGTAAGTTCTAGACGTCTTTGGTGGATTTCAGAAAATTTCACTCCTAGGATGAAACAAAGGAAACAAAAAATTTTACAGTTGAAACCAGAATTCAAATTAATCTTCAAATTACCTTAAAATGAAACTCAGCCACGTTATAATCCAGCTTGCAATACATGAGCAATCCAGATTATACAGTTCTTAAATAAAAACAAGTCTATTGTAATTAGGGATGCACGATATAATCGGCCCCCTATCGGTATCGGCCTTAAAACTGAATATCGGACATCGGCCACCCCACCGATATTTAACCCGATATTTGATCAGCTTCTGAGTTTCTAAAGTCTAAAAAAAAATAAAATACTACTTCTTCTTCTTCCTCAAAAACTTCTTTTTTACAGACTTAAAAACTTCTAAAGACGAGGGAAAAAATATTGATACATTAAAATATCCCAATATCTTCATATGCTGATATATTGCCATTTAAAAACACCATATCAATCTCTTTTACTAATGAAATATTGCTATATGTCATCGTTATGCTACGAAATCCCCCGAAAATTCACCAAATGTTGCCATATTTTTATATGTTGATATATTGACGCGGTATCGATCTATTTTACTAACAAAATCTCACAAGAATTTGCAAAATATCACGAGAGTTTGTAACAGAACGATGAAATTTCACGAGATTTTGAAAGTAAAATAGATCGATACCGCGTTTTTAAAAATCTATTTGATATCAGCATATGAAAATATATTTGAGTATATTATTTTTCAAAGTGTCAGAAATGGATAACAAAACTGCTATTTTCAATGACTACTTATTTTTGTCCAGCTTTAACATCGGTATCGATATCGGTTATCGGCTACATGAGTTTTAAAATATCGGCATATCGGATATCGGCCAAAATCCCAATATCGTGCATCCCTACTATTGAATTAAATGTTCAACTTTATGATCTGATTTACGCCTAAATTAGAAATTCTTACAGCTTATGCTACGTTCAGATTGCAAACGCTTTAAGAATCAAAAAAGCTTCTGCTACTTCATTTCTGATGCTTGTCCACATTAAGGTCAGACATCCAGTAAAGCCGGGCATACGGTGTACGATTTTTTTCAATCGTTGCACGCAGCTAGAGCTTTAACTATACGACAAAACCGCAGGAGATCACACTCACGATGTATGTGCAGCACGACGCTCTGATGCGATCTACCTGCTCACACTGTACGTCTAAAAACCAGGTGGGATTCAGCTCGGCAGTGAGATGGCGCTACTCGGACTCGTCCATCTGGAAGCCAAACCAGTAGCAGAGGAACATGAAGCTCACTAGAGTGAAACGCGCTGCCTTGGATATTTGGGCAATTTAGTGCTGAAAGCCCTAAAAAGAAAAGGAGACGACGTATTTGGACAAAGACATGGCTGAGCTAACGTGGCTACTACGATCTGTCAGTTTGACAGAAAGAACTCCATTTCACTCATTGCCTCCCCGCCATGCTGCTGGTATTACATCTGAGAAGAAGAAGAAGAATCCTTGTCTGCCCACTGAGCGATTTACCCACGACCACCTTAAGACGGCCGACTGAAAATCAAACATGTTTGATTTTCTCCCGTCCTGATTCCAGATCAGGAGGTGGTCGTTAGAGGCTGATCGCCCCTCGTTACCCACTGTGCACTTCATGACGCACCATCGGGCCCGATCGAAAGAATCTCGCACAACTGGAAAGTCGCCCTGATAAGGGTAAACAATCGCACAGTGAAAGCCCGGTTTAAAGTGTTTCCAGATGCTTCTGCTGCTCCTGTGTTTGATGCCAGAGAGCAGCTTTGCTATATTAGCTGTGATCAGCGGGTAGAAAGTAGTTAGAATCTATGTTGAAGTGAGAAAGTCCTCCTGAAAACATGGTCTGTGCAGTCAGTTCATCCAGATTACCATCCTGCCTTCAAAGATTATTTCTCTGTGGGAGCCGCTCAGACCCCCACATACCGGCGCTGCGCTGTCACTGGGAATCCCCAGCAGCAGCTGCCTCAGGCCCGCTCGCCTCTTGGGGGTTTTCCCCTCCTGTTGGTGGCAGCTGGAAGTAGATGTTAGCGTTTTTCAGGTCTGTGCTACAAACTGCAGGCAGCAGGATAATAAAAGCCAACATATTCTGCCGGCAGGTTTCTACATTTGAAGTTCATTTAGGCGTTAATAAACTGTTTCAGAGGAGTGATCATAGCGCTCTGCATCAGCAGTGCTGTGTCTGACTCCCTGCCAGCTCCCAGATCAGCTTCTCTCATTGGTTGATGAGGCGCATCAACTCCAGCATCTGCTGATGTGAAGTGCGTCACGCGCCTCAGATGCATGGCTTCTGCTGCTCTAGACACGCTGTAGGACTTCTAATGCGCGTCAACCACAGATTTTACATATAAAGCAGCTGCTTCTGCTGCCTAAAGCGCGTCCGGTGTGAACGTAGCATTATTTACGCTAGCAATCATACGTTTAAAGGGTCATGACCTCTACCTCGTGTTCTCACGCAGGCATCAGTTCTTCATTAAGCCAATCTGCACCACATGCACAGCAGAGACTCAGAACTTCAAGTCATTTCTTTTGGGTTACGGTGCTAAACGGAGGTGATTGGTTTGTTTTTGCAGAGCTGCTGCAGATCGCAGGAATCAGTCCTCATGGAAACGCTCTTGGTGCGACCATGCAGCAGCAGGCCAGCCAGCAGCCGCCTCAGGAGAAGAGGGGAGGGGAGATCCTGGACTCCACTAACACTGACATCAAACTGGAGAAGAGCAACATCATACTCCTCGGTCCTACTGGTTCAGGTGGGTGAAATAGCAAAGGAGTTACATCGCATCTCTGATGCATCTCACCAAATGCAGTTAAATGATGGGTCAGTCGATTAATCGATATTAATGTTCATCTCTAAGGGAAAACATTGCTGGCGCAGACACTGGCTCGCTGTCTTGATGTTCCTTTTGCGATCTGCGACTGCACCACTCTCACCCAAGCTGGATACGTGGGAGAGGACATCGAGTCGGTTATCGCCAAACTTCTGCAGGATGCCAACTACTCAGTGGAGAAAGCACAACAAGGTGGGCACAGGCGCCATATTTAACCTTTCCCATCTGTTGAGTGAGAAGGTTTGTGGAAATCCCTCTAAACTAAAGCTGCCATGACTTACCTGACACCGTGGTTGGAATTCGTTATCTTTGTATTTCTTTTGCAAAAATAAGAACTTCAACTAAAAAAAAAGAAGAAATTACTCCGGATAAATAACTTGGTAATAATAAAACAGAGTTTGGAGAAAAACAATCTGATGATTTTCAATAAATGACAGTTTTTCAATTCAGTTAAAACTTTTTTTGTTCCCTGTACATACAAACAATGGAAACCGGTGCAAACCTGCAGCTTATAATAAAACATTGGACTAAATAAGAATGAATTGTTATTAAAATATAATTTAAATTCCAACAAAAATGACATTTTAATTCAAACTTCCCGTCAGTGTTTTGTTAGTTTAATCCATTATCCTTTAGAGATAAAAAGAAACATTTTAAATGTATTTATTTAAGGTGGAAATTTACAAAAATTTGATCTTTCTGAAATTCAAAAAAAAAGATTTGTGTTAAATGTTATTTTGCTAAAAAGAAAGTGTCAGCATTCATGAACGATGCTTTTGACAATCTGCTTTTAGTGTATCTTCCATTTTAGTGCTGAAACATTGAATCATGATTCATTAATTGTTGAAATAATCGTCAATTGATCAATAATCATTAACCGGAGTATAGAGGCTCTAAAACTTGTCTTTAGCTGACGAAGTAATTACACCAAAGTTTTAAGAAATATGTTTAAAAAAATGTTGCATTTAAGTTTTCTTCTTTTAATATTCTCCTTCCAGAATATTTTCACCTGGTTTCATTTCATAAAATATGTTCTTTAAGCAACCGTTGGCTATCTGATTATTAATTGATTAATGAAAGAAATCAACAGGTTAATTGATTTGCAAAATGATCGTTAGTTGAAGCCCTTTTCCAGTCGTTATTTGTAACTTGATATGACTTTATAACCGCCCTTCAATTCAGAGGCCAATTAAATTCTTTCTTTTTTAAGATTTTTGGAATATAGAAACAACAAGACCTAAATAATATTTTAACATTTAAGGTAAATCATTCGAGATTCCAATGTCTTTAAAATTTTGCAATTTTAGGCTGTAAAATTATGAAGCTTTGAAACTGACTTTGGTTCTAAAGTAAAGAATTTCTCCATTTCTAAGAGAAAAGTTTGGTTTCTGTCTAGTTTATAAAGCTATTTCTTTGCTTGGAGCTGCACCGGACAGTAAATACCTTCTTCAATAAGACTTTAAGGTTATTTAAGCATTTTTCAACCTAAAAACAAAGCTCAGAAATGATGCTGAACCTCAACCCATTTATCTCCAGTCTATGCTTGTCCTTAGTTTCCTGCAAGTCTCCCTAAATCAGGCGTGTGCATCAGAACAGGGAAGTAAACAATGAGGCAGCTGCTGTCAGCAGATCTCTTTATTCCATTCGGCCCTCAGAAAATGATGCCAACTGGTTGTAAAAAGAAAAGCAACGGTAAATAGGGTCTGACTTATAAGAGTAGGTCACCAATCCAGCCACCATTGTTTTGTCCTTTGTGTCGGCAGGTATCGTGTTCCTGGATGAAGTGGATAAGATTGGCAGCGTGCCTGGAATCCATCAGCTGAGAGATGTGGGCGGGGAGGGCGTTCAGCAGGTCAGTGCGGACACGCGGTCATCCTTAGAGCTGCAGACAGCAGCTAGGTTTATATTTTAAGGATCGGATGAAATGCTTCGTCGTAAATGCGATTTAGTCTTTGGCTATCTGAGGATTTTCACACATAGGTTTAGCGTCTTTGTTTTTGCTGGACTCTGCAGATATACAGTCATGGAAAACATTATTAGAATAGAGACAATGGTTATGTAGTCAACTTCCAAAAAAGATAAAAAAACGTCTTCAAACTTTGTTTCCAAGTTTGAAGACGTTTCTCTTCTCATCCAGGAAGCTTTTTCAATTCAAAATGAAAATGTCAGAAATGCTGAGTTCCAGAGTTCCAGGTTTTATAGTGTGGGCCAACAAAGCCTGGTTTTGGTTTAGAAATCATGCAAATTGAAACGAACAAACGAGTCCAACCCTTTGGAATGGCTGAACACCTGGAGGTCTAATTGATCAGAAGTGGAAGCAAATCATCAAACTAACAACGTCGTCTCGTTACCTAAAAGTTAAACACAGGATTATTTACAAAATTACACATAAGCTGCCATGACTTATAAATCCTCTCTTTAGATAAAGAGAAAATTAACTTGTTTTCTCAAGAAAACACAGTGAAAAAGTGAAAATCGGAGGGACACGACCGCTCTCTGCTTCTGTAGTTTACTGATATAGATTTTAAAAACTGTTTTTTTCTTTTTTAACTAAAGACCATGTCACACCTTGATGATTTAGACCAGCAATGACTGATGTTCAGAAAATCTGGGAAAAACGCTGCCATATGTTGGATAAGTTATGAGCACGCTGAAATGTGGCAACATACGGCGAGTACGACGAGAAATTTTGAGCGAAAATTCCCGCCGTATTCCAGCGTCTGCCATATGTGGGCCGTCAGTTCCAGGTCAGTCATGTGATGGCTGACATCCGTTCAGTGTCGGTTCCTTTCTTTGTTTCTTTCTTTCTTTGTTTCATTCTTTCTTTCTTTCCTTGTTTCCTTCTGCCTTTGTTTCTTTGTTTCTTTCTTTCTTTTCTTTCCTTGTTTCCTTCTGTCTTTGTTTCTTTCTTTGTTTTTCTTTCTGTCTTTGTTTCTTTTTGTTTCTTTGTTTGTTTCTTTGTTTGTTTCTTTGTTTGTTTCATTCTTTCTTTCTTTCCTTGTTTCCTTCTGCCTTTGTTTCTTTGTTTCTTTCTTTCTTTTCTTTCCTTGTTTCCTTCTGTCTTTGTTTCTTTCTTTGTTTTTCTTTCTGTCTTTGTTTCTTTTTGTTTCTTTGTTTGTTTCTTTGTTTGTTTCATTCTTTCTTTCTTTCCTTGTTTCCTTCTGCCTTTGTATCTTTGTTTCTTTCTTTCTTTTCTTTCCTTGTTTCCTTCTGTCTTTGTTTCTTTCTTTGTTTTTCTTTCTGTCTTTGTTTCTTTTTGTTTCTTTGTTTGTTTCTTTGTTTGTTTCATTCTTTCTTTCTTTCCTTGTTTCCTTCTGTCTTTGTTTGTTTCTTTGTTTCTTTCTTTCCTTGTTTCCTTCTGTCTTTGTTTCTTTCTTTGTTTTTCTTTCTGTCTTTGTTTCTTTTTGTTTCTTTGTTTCTTTCTTTGTTTCTTTCCTTGTTTCCTTCTGTCTTTGTTTGTTTGTTTTTCTTTCTTTCTTTGTTTCTTTCTTTCTTTACTTGTTTCTTTCTTTGTTTCTTTGTTTGTTTTTCTTTCTTTCTTTGTTTCTTTCTTTCCTTGTTTCCTTCTGTCTTTGTTTCTTTCTTTGTTTTTCTTTCTGTCTTTGTTTCTTTCCTTGTTTCCTTCTGTCTTTGTTTGTTTTTCTTTCTTTCTTTGTTTCTTTCTTTCTTTGTTTTTCTTTGTTTCTTTCCTTGTTTCCTTCTGTCTTTATTTGTTTGTTTTTCTTTCTTTCTTTGTTTCTTTGTTTTTCTTTCTTTGTTTCTTTCTTTCTTTACTTGTTTCTTTCTTTGTTTGTTTCTTTGTTTGTTTCTTTCTTTGTTTCTTTCTTTCCTTGTTTCCTTCTGTCTTTGTTTCTTTGTTTTTCTTTATTTCTTTCTTTCTCTCTCGGGCAGTAAACAGCTTAATTCCTCTATACCAGTATGTTTTTCTGCAGGCCCGGCGTCTCCGGTTGAATCGCTGCTCTGCACCCGAGGGAAGCAGCTTTAACTGTTGCTGTTGTGCATCATTTCCTGGGAATTATGCTGCCGTGCTTTATGCAGAAGTTAGGCTGTCGTTGGACATTAGTTCTGGACTCGTTATGAATACGCCCAAAATAGAAAAAAACTCCACAGAAAGTTCAGCGTATGGCAGCGTTTTAGGAGATCCTGGGACGTCGGGCATAGGCTGGCTGAATCAGCAAGGTGTGACAGGACACTTAGGTTGACGTTTTTCTTAATTTAAATATAAATTGTCTTGTTCCATTTTCAGAGTGTCTCACTCACCTCCTCAATTCAAGAAAAAATGCACTTATTTTACGAAAAAGTGACTTATTTAGATGTTTAGTTATGCTAATAGTTGTGAGGTCGCCATCCATGTATTGTAGTATCTTTTTTTTCAAAGGCTCCTTTTTCTAAATCACACAGCTGATTTAAAAGCCATAAACTTATTTTATTCCTCTCTTTATACGACCAAATATTGCTATTTATTTTTCTTCTTCCACTGCAGGGTTTGCTGAAACTCTTGGAGGGAACAATCGTCAACGTTCCAGAGAAAAACTCTAGAAAACTAAGAGGCGAAACGGTTCAGGTCGACACAACCAACATTCTGTTTGTTGCGTCGGGAGCTTTCAACGGCCTCGACAGGATTATAAGCCGAAGAAAGAATGAAAAGGTAAAGGGAACCTGCCTAATTCCTAGACGACGCATCGCTTCATCTCTGATTGGTTTCTTTTTTTAATCTGTTTTAGTATTTGGGATTTGGAACGCCGTCTAACTTGGGGAAAGGGCGCCGAGCGGCCGCTGCAGCGGACCTGGCCAACAGCAGCGGCGAAACGGACGCCGTGGCGGAGATCGAGGAGAAGGACCGGCTCCTAAAGCACGTGGAGGCGAGGGACCTGATCGAGTTTGGAATGATCCCGGAGTTCGTCGGCCGTCTTCCCGTCGTGGTTCCTCTGCACAGCTTGGATGAGGACACGCTGGTCCGAATCCTGACCGAACCGCGGAACGCTGTGGTTCCTCAGTACCAGGCTCTGTTCAGCATGGACAAAGTGAGGACGCTGGTTAGTTTTGCCCAGTGGCGTCACAGAGGTAGCAACCTAATGGAGCGTGTGTTTTGATCCGTAGTGCGAGCTGAATGTGACCCCGGATGCCTTGAGAGCCATCGCCAGATTGGCCTTGGAGAGAAAAACCGGAGCTCGTGGCCTCAGATCCATCATGGTTCGTCACTTTCCATCAAAGTTTTCATTCTTTAACGTTTCCTGCTTTCAATCCTCTGTAATATTGTGAACCTATTGTTCCTACAAATACAGGAGAAACTTCTTCTTGAGCCCATGTTTGAGGTGCCTCACTCCGACATCGCTGCTGTTGAACTGGACAAAGATGTGGTTCAGGGAAAATCGCAGCCCAGATACATCCGGTCAGTACTTCACTGCTTTCTGGACAAAAAAACAAACAGATATTGGCTTATTGCATAGATGTCCATACCTATTAAGTCTTTTCATATTGCAGCTCGGGCTTGGCGATATACGGAATATACTCGATGGATCTGAAGTTTATTTTATTTAACTCACAATAGTTAAAATGACTCTATTGCAACCATCAAGTTCAAATTCGCATGACGCCATTACAGGCTGATTTATGCTCAGAAACCAGGTGGTCTGCGTGTGTCGCAGTGAACGAACGCAACCCAAGCTCGGGTCCTCTGCCAGAGGCCTGGGATATTCAATAAATAAATAAATATATATATATATATATATATATTAGGGCTGGTTGACAATTAAAAGTTGATTAATGATGATTAATCACATTTTTATACGCAAAAAACAATAATGAATTCAAAAGTAGTGTATAGCACAATTTTATTTTAAATGTTCTGCCATATTAAAGGAAGTGCCATGCAAACACTTAACATCAGCATTTTGTTTATACAGTAGCAGTTAAATAAAAACAGCCCACAAAATCCTGAGTCACAATCGTAACATTAAAACAGGCAATTTCTGAGGTACCAGCAGAAACATTTTCTTTTATCAGAGAGCAGCATAACCAGTCTAGTACCAAATGTCCCTAAGTGAAGAACAAAAAAAAGTTCACTGCTGGGATTTACTGTGCAGGGAAATAGTCTGTAAATATACTAATTGGCCTGCAGTCTGTAGCTATCCGCTTCGCTATGGCGTTTGTTAGCTTCTCTTGCCTTTGTTTATCTATACTTCTCCCACACGCTGCATCTAACGGTTCCTAAACTTCCGGTACTTTCAGTTTTACCAAATAAAAGCCTGGGAGCAACAGACTTTTACAGTAATAAAAGAAATAATAAAAACTGCGTTAATACGAGATAAAATAATTGTTGGCGTTAATTGATTGATGAGTTAACGTAATAATAACGAGCTAACTTGCCCAGCCTTAAAGGAATAGTACACCCAAAACATGATTAGCCTTCATTTTCTACTCACCCCCATGCTGAACAACACTCTGGAGTACTTTTTTGATATCTCAAATGCATCTGGAGATCTGGGAGGCTTCTTGCTGTCTGCTGACATTCAAATAATGGAGGTCTATGGCGCCCGAGACAGAAAGGTCCATAAAAGTCCACAAAAAACGTGTCAATATTCCTCCATACTGCTCGTCCAATGTATTCCAAGTGTCCTGAGTGGGTAGCGTCCAGAATTTACTCGAAACGAAGTCATTTAGAATGTTTTTAGAGCATAAACAGTAGTGTATAGGATTTCCTGAAAGCGCGTTCACGAGTCTACGGAAACCGCGGCAGACCAAACCAGATGAAAGTGCGCATTCAGCGTCTGCTCTGCCGATAATGCAAGCGTAGAAGAAGAAATGTGCTGTTTACCTGTGCAAAGAAAGAAACAACGAAAGAAAAATGTCTGAGGACTTCAGTGTTGAGGAAGAGCATGAGTTCTTTGCCGAGCTGAATGGGCACTTTCATCTGGTTTGGTCTGCCGCGGTTTCCGTAGCGTCGTGAACGCGCTTTCAGGAAATCCTATACACTACTGTTTATGCTCTAAAAACATTCTAAATGACTTCGTTTCCAGTAAATTCTGGACGCTACCCACTCAGGACACTTGGAATACATTGGACGAGCAGTATGGAGGAATATTGACACATTTTTATGGACTTTTATGGACCTTTCTGCCTCGGGCGCCATAGACCTCCATTATTTGAATGTCAGCAGACAGCAAGAAGCCTCCCAGATCTCCAGATGCATTTGAGATATCAAAAAAGTACTCCAGAGTGTTGTTCAGCATGGGGGTGAGTAGAAAATGAAGGCTAATCATGTTTTGGGTGTACTATTCCTTTAAAAAAAAAAAAAAAAAAAAAAAAAAAAATATATATATATATATATATATATATATATATATATATATTTCTTGCCTGTGTCAAAAAAGTTTCAAGCTCAGGATGTTTTGCTTTAATTCCTGCATTTGAAACTTTGGATGAACTGTCAGAATTTATAGATCCACATCTTGACCATAACTCAAGCAAATTTGGACTGAATAAGTTTAAGCATGTTTGTTCCTCAAAGGTTTAAATGGGGCAGGCGGAAATGTGATTTTAGAACAATGCCAAAAGCGCAAAATTGCATTTTATGAAAGGGAATCTGATCAGGAAAAATATGCTGATTTCCATTATTGCACGAGGCAAAACCTTTGCTCCTCAGATTTAGTCGTTTCATTGAAATTTACCAATAAAATCACCAAACTGAATAGAAAATAAGAATAACAGAGCAGCTCATGGAACGCACGGCCGTTACATCACCTGAAATGGTCGCACAGTGTCCTCTGACCCCTCATTGGAAAGGTCTAACCCTTTACTTTCCAATGATGGCGGCCATTAGGGGGCGGGGCTAGAAATGAATCGGCAGAGTCAGATTTTAAATCTCATTTAATCTGTTTACACAGCTATGAAAAAATTATTTTAAGATATTTTTTAGACATTTGTGTGGATGAAACACCATGTGACTGAGTTTTGGTCATTTCTATAAACAGATAAACATGAGCAGGTGTCAGCTGGGCCCGGTACCGGGCCGGCCGGGTTTAAGGCGTTAAATTGGAGTTTACGTTTGTGTTTCAGAGCCCCGGCCAAGGATTCATCAGAGGAGGAGTACGACTCCGGCATGGAGGAGGAGAACTGGCCTCGGCAGGCTGACGCCGCCAACAACTGAACCACGTCTCTCATTTCACCTGAAATCATTCGACTCCCACGAACTCCCCCCCCTCTGGATACCGCGTTCGGTTCCAGCCCTTATTTTTATTACTTCACCTGACAAACGAAACCATGGACGCTTCGTGATGAAGAAGCTGAGAGAGAGTAACAACCTTTGGGTGTCTTTGTGTGGGATAATAAATCTCTAGCGGTGCACCCAGTGTGGACCTTTTTATCACATATTTCAATCTCTGGGGATTGTTAACATTTTATCTATATAAAGATAAGATTTTATTCAAAAAAAAAAAAGAAAAAAATATTTGTAGGTAGTTTGTATCCTCTTTTTGTGCTGATTGGTTGTAATGGGAGGGGAAGCAGACGGCGTTAATGGGATCATATTTTAGACGTGAAGTCTGAGGGGCGGCTGGCGTGACGTTAACGTGTCGAGAAATGCCTTAAATCACAAGGGCGTGATATTCCACAAAACGCATCAATATTTTGATGTTTCTTCCTTTGCCACCGTTGTGATAACGGTGCTGGAGGGGAAATCGGTTGTAAATGTTAAGCTAAGCTGCACAAGTATCGTTTGTAAGCGGTTTGTAATACATGGAGGTTGAAAAACACACCAGCACATCGAACACGGCAGGTGAAACATCCGTTTTCTTAATGTTCTAATGTCCAGCTCCTTAGGAATCCGTTTCCGTCTGGACCTCGGAGTGGCTGGATTCACAGAACGAAGACATTTAGCAGACCAAACCCTGCACCTTTTCTAAAAACCTCTGTTTGCTTTGTAGTTTTCAACCTCTTTCAATCCGGGTTTGTTTTCATTTGCAAATCATGAAAATAACCAGACTCCCTCCGTAGAGCTGCAGATACTTTCTTTCTGTGTTGCACCTGTGTCCAAATGGCACCTCACGTCCTGTGATGTCACATCCTGTTACCAGACGGTACCTCTGTGCTTCTGTTTCATGGAGACGCCGTCCACAAGGTCTCTGACTCACCAGGCTGCTGTGCTGAAACGCGCTCCGTCTCCTCTTTGCTTTAACTTTCTTTTTTTTCTCTCTCTGTGAAGCTCTAAGCTGCTGTAATTTCAGACGTCTGTTACAGAAATGATATTAAAATAAAACTCCCCTCTCAAAAGCTTGTGAATCCTAAATTCATTGTGATCGTGTAAAAATATATAAATAAAATCTATACCTGAGTTTCTGAATTTCTTTTCTTCTAAGCTGGAAACTGAATAGTGAGTCCGGGTGAACAATGTGATGTTGCACGGCACTGACCGGCTGTCAGCTTTATGTAACCGGCTAATCTCTGGAAAGTATCGTGCTGTGCCTTCGTTTCCTGATACATCAGCATTTCTTTAATCCCGCCTCTTTAGATTTCATTAGAAATTACATAATAAAGTTAAAAAACACAGTCAGAATAAAGTTCATTCATTTAATAAGTTAGAAAAAATGATTATAGTAATCTATTTAAAATAATAATAATCATTCATTTAATTTATAATGCACTTTTCACCAAAAAGTAAAAAAAGAGGATTAGGGCCACTGAAAAAAAAAAAACGCTAACTGATTTTTAAATTTTATTTCAGTTTAACATGGGGGAAAAAGTCAGAATTCTGAGATTAAAGTCAGAATTCTGACTTTTTTCCCATACTATACTGAAAAAAAAAAAATAAATCAGTTAGCGTTTTTTTTTTTCAGTGGCCCTAATCCTCTTCCGTAAAAAAGGCCTCAAAGTGCTACAAAAAAGCATTAAAAAAGAAATACATAGAGATAAAAGAAATAAAAATAAAATAATAAAAGCTGTTTTAAAAGAGAAAAAAGAAACATCTAAAGGGGACCAAAAGTTTTGCTAAAAATAAATGTTTTAAGGCCTTTTTTAAAACAGTCAGTGGACTGAGGAGCCCTCAAGGTGTCGGGGAGGGAATTCCACAGACGTGAGGCAGCAGCACATAATGCTCCATCGTCATGAGTCTGATTCTGGGAAAGTGTAGCAGGTTTGAGTGAGTGGAGCGAAGGGAGCCGGACGTCTTCTGTGGCTTGATAAGTTCTTTGAGGTAGGGGGGGGGCATGTCCATGGATGCATTGATGTGTGAGGAGGGAGACCTTGTATTCTATGCTGGTGGGGATGGGAAGCCAGTGTAGTGAATGGAGAACGGGGGTAATGTGCTCATGTTTCTCATCAGGATCCCAGCTGCAGAGTTTTGAACGTACTGAAGCCTCTGCAGACTCTTTCTAGGGATCCCAATGAGAAGTGCGTTGCAATAGTCGAGTCTGGAGGAGACCAAGGCATGGAGCAGCTTCTCGGCGTCTGGGAGGGAGAGAATGTTACGGAGTTTGGAGATGTTACGGAGGTGGTAGAAAGAAGTCTTGCATAATTGATTTATGTGGGCTTCAAAAGTGAGTAGTGAGTCCATTCTTACACCAAGATTACTAACGGTTGATGAAAGCGGAATGTTAGTACCAGAAAAAGTGATGCTGGTTATGGTTAATGATTTAGTTTGATGAGGAGTTCCAGCCAGGATGGCTTTGGTTTTGGAGCTATTTAGTTGAAGAAAGTTTTCCTCCATCCATACTAGAGATGCACGATATAATGGGCCCCCTATCGGTATCGGCCTTAAAACTGAATATCGGACATCGGCCACCCCACCGATATTTAACCCGATATTTGATCAGCTTCTGAGTTTTTAAAGTCTAAAAAAAAAAAGAAAATACTACTTCTTCTTCTTCCTCAAAAACTTCTTTTTTACAGACTTAAAAACTTCTAAAGACGAGGGAAAAAATATTGATCCATTAAAATATCCCAATATCTTCATATGCTGATATATTGCCATTTAAAAACACCATATCAATCTCTTTTACTAATGAAATATTGCTATATGTCATCGTTATGCTACGAAATCCCCCGAAAATTCACCAAATGTTGCCATATTTTTATATGTTGATATATTGACGCGGTATCGATCTATTTTACTAACAAAATCTCACAAGAATTTGCAAAATATCACGAGAGTTTGTAACAGAACGATGAAATTTCACCAGATTTTGAAAGTAAAATAGATCGATACCGCGTTTTTAAAAATCTATTTGATATCAGCATATGAAAATATATTTGAGTATATTATTTTTCAAAGTGTCAGAAATGAATAACAAAACTGCTATTTTCAATGACTACTTATTTTTGTCCAGCTTTAACATCGGTATCGATATCGGTTATCGGCTACATGAGTTTTAAAATATCGGATATCGGCCAAAATCCCAATATCGTGCATCACTAATCCATACCTTTATCTCCTCCAGACAGGTGGTGAGTTTTGATGGGGATGACTGTGAGGGTGGGGGGTCAGCTGTGACATTTACATAGAGCTGTATGTCATCAGCATAGTAGTGGAATGAGATATTGTGGAGGCTGATGATTTGACCAAGGGGGGTGAGGTGAAGGATGAAGAGGATGGGGCCGAGGACTGACCCCTGAGGGACGCCACACGTAACTGCAATAAAAACTTTTTTCTCTCTGCAGTATTTGTGGTAATTTGGGTGTTTATGATTAAAAGTTATTTATAGTACACTGAAAAAAAATAATGCAACCGCTTTTGGCATTTACTTCATCATATTTAGTTACTTCCAGTGGAAAAACGATCTAGAAATAAATAAAAATGTCTTAAATTAAGTGTATTTACCCTTAATTTGAGCAGGTAAATGAGATAGTTTGCCAATGGAACGAGTATTTTCGCTCTTAAAATAAGATAATTAGGTAATATGCACTTGAAATAAGACAATGTAATTGTGTTTTCTTATTTTAAATGTAAATTGTCTTGTTCCATTGGCAAAATGTCTCTTCTTCCTCCTCAATCCAAGAACAAATGCACTTATTTTAAGTGAAAATGACTTATCTAGATATTGATTTTTTTTTCCAGTGTTAACCAATTGTTTTATGTCATACTCTGCAAACATGGTGTTAAAGTAACTAAATATGATGAGGTAAATGCCAAAAGCGGTTGCATTATTTTTTCCAGTGTAGATCTTTTGCATGATGGATTATATCAGGCGTCTGCAGTGGTAAACAAACTCGGGGATGATGTCAGAGACTTAGTGATGAAGAGGCTTATCACACATGAGGATGTTTGTGTCAAAGCCATTTTACTCCAGACTGTGACTCTGACTGCTGCAGACCTGTTAGATAGTACCTGGCACAGGTAAGAAAAACATTATTATACAAACGCTGGTGAAGATTCTCAGTCGTTCCAAAAAAGTAAAAGAAAAACAATCCACTGGACTTTGTTTCCAAAATTGAAGACGTTTCTCTACCATCCAGGAAGCTTTTCAATTCAAAATGTCAGAAATAACGTTGAGTTCCAGGTTTTATAGAGCAGACCAAAAACAAAACCTTGTTTTTGTTTAGAAAATATGCAAATTAAAACGGACGAACGGGTCCCCCCCTTTGGAACGGGGGTGATTTGGCTTAAGCTACAGACGTTTCGTTTCCCATCCAGGAAACTTTTTTTATTCAAACTGTCAGAAATATACGGGATTAATCATAATATAATTTCAGATCTCCTAAATCAGCGTTCTTCAATGTTTTCCAAGCCAAGAAATAAATTATTATTTACTTTCGCAATAAGCTGTAAATAAGCTTTTCTTTTAATGTAAAAAAAAATGGTTGGTGGCATCCACTTCTTTAACCGTGCTGGACTATGGTGATATATAAGCATTCATCTGCTTAATGCCTGCAGATGATTGACGCAGCCTATCACGCATCATTGAGATTTATTACTAATTGTAAAGCTCGCACCCATCACTGTGTCTGTATTCTGGTGTAGGGTGGTCTGTATATATTTATAATAGGGATGCAGGATATTGGGATTTTGGCCGATATCCGATATTTTAAAACTCATGTAGCCGATAACCGATATCGATACCGATGTTAAAGCTGGACAAAAATAAGTAGTCATTGAAAATAGCAGTTTTGTTATTCATTTCTGACACTTTGAAAAATAATATACTCAAATATATTTTCATTTGCTGATATCAAATTGATTTTTAAAAACGTGGTATCGATCTATTTTACTTTCAAAATCTGGTGAAATTTCATCGTTCTGTTACAAACTCTCGTGATATTTTGCAAATTCTTGTGAGATTTTGTTAGTAAAATAGATCGATACCGCGTCAATATATCAACATATAAAAATATGGCAACATTTCGTGAATTTTCGGGGGATTTCGTAGCATAACGATGACATATAGCAATATTTCATTAGTAAAAGAGATTGATATGGTGTTTTTAAATGGCAATATATCAGCGTATGAAGATATTGGGATATTTTAATGGATCAATATTTTTTCCCTCGTCTTTCGAAGTTTTTAAGTCTGTAAAAAATAGGTTTTTAGAAGAAGAAGAAGTAGTATTTATTTATTTTTTTAGACTTTAGAAACTCAGAAGCTGATCAAATATCGGGTTAAATATCGGTGGGGTGGCCGATGTCCGATATTCAGTTTTAAGGCCGATACCGATAGAGGGCCGATTATATCGTGCATCCCTAATTTATATATAAGGCTATTCTTGGTGCGCTTCCATCTTATTTATGTTCACTTCTTATGAAAGTACTGGTCATTACTCTCTCCGTTCTCAGGCTGTTGTCTTGTTTTCCGTCCCATATGTCGGTACTGAGCTGGGTAAAAACGCCTTTGCTTACTCTGCTCCCTTTACATGGAATTTGCTGCAAAATTACGTGAAACTTAGTAAATTGGTTCCTTTGAATACTTTTAAGCTGAGAATGAGATGTTTTGAGTCGGACTCCCTCACATGTCAATGTTTTAAATTGAAATTTTATTGTAAGTGCATATTTGGCTTTTATGTGTGTGTCTTTGTACTTTTGTAATAATGTGATGTAATTTTGATGCCTATCTTGGCCAGGTCTCCCTTGCAAAAGAGATTTTTTTTATCTCAATGGGTATTACCTGGTTAAATAAAGGATAAATAAAAAAATAATTATATAAATTGTATGAAATAGTGTTCTATCAAACTGGTCCTATAGTCACCCTATTACAGATGGAGTAATGTAACTAAAGTAATCCCTCCCTGGGATTATTAAAGTATTTCTGCTCCCTGGTTGATGGGACAGGTGTTGTGAATGAAACGGTGCCCAGCTTGAAAGAGCTCCTGTGTGTCTCTGAATGTGAGCATTGATGACTGAAAGAC